AATGGAGTCGATAGGCCAGAAGGGGGAGCTCTCATGGTGTACTACTTGTTGCAGCCCTTTGAAGACTCAGCAGGAAGAAGCCTATACCTTACTTAGCTAAAGGAAGATTTTTCACCTGGTCCAGCAACAGCCCAAGCAATGAGAGACTGTCACAACTCAACCAATGAAAAGCCACGACACGACACTTTGAGCTCCTAGTTTACTCCAATGGACTTTTTGTTTATAATGGCCCCTCCCAACTTCCTCCTTTCCTCTAAGAGTGTTCCTCTCCCTTGTTTTCTGAGTGTGAGTGTTTCACCATAGCTTTCTTCCAAATTGCTATTCCTCTCCTATTCCTGAATGAACCCACTTTACTGGTAAAATAATTGGCTGTTTTGTTTTCAAGGTTGACAAGATCACAGAAACTCAGAATTGGGAAAGACCCTAAAACTTGTCAGGTAGTCCAGCTCCCCTATTGTGGCACTAATTCCCTAGAAGATGGCCATCCAACCTCTGAACACTCCCAGCGCTGGAGAGCTCACCAGTCTGCAGGCAGTTTATTGTATAAAGGATGGCTCTCTCTCTTTTAAGAGAAAGATACACTGTCAAATTCCATTGCAGAAAGGCAGAGGGCAAATACTGCAAATTGTCCTCTGCCAACCTTTTGTCCACCCTACTTTAAAAATTGAAGTCCCAAGGTGCCTCTCCAAACCCTACACAATTTGACCCAGCCACAGTTACTTGCTTTAAGTCTTAGGCAATTTATGTCACCTTTTTAAGTCTCATTTTCTTCATCTGTAAATGGGGGTAAACAATCCCAACCTGTTGTTGTGGAGATTAAATAAAATAATGGATATAAACGCTGTCTAGCCTATAGCAAGCACTCAGTAAATACTAGCTGATGTAACTGGAGGGTAATAGTAGATGCTGTCCTGACTAGAATAAGGTAGGCTATTCAAATAAGGCATCATAGTTGAGATAAACCTGGAGCAGTGCTTTTAAGGAGGGAAGGAGAGAGTTCAGGGAAGAATAAGAGCATTTGGAAAGAGTTTTGGATAGGAAAATGAGAGTTTTCAGCTGAAGGGGAAAGCATAAGTTAAATGTTAGTAAGCAGTGGGTGAGCAGGGAGGATGAGCAGGGCTACCTAGTTAAATACACAATCTTATGTGGAAGGGAACTGGGAGTCAATCTCGGATTATGAGGTAGAATAATGGATTAGAGAAGCAGGACTAAAAATGAGAAATCCTGATACCACATGAAGTTTAGACTGGAAATCAAAAAGCAGACCAGGAGACAGTGGCTGGTTTAGTGGTAGAGGACTAATCTTAGACATCTGGAGTCTCTCAGTTCTACTATCCCCTATTTTTAAATATTTTTTTTGTTTTGTTTTATCTTATTCTGGGCTTCCAGCTGGCATATGTAGCTGCCATCAGGATTGCTGGTCTATAGGACCCCTACAGTCCCTAATCTTATATGTTGTTTCAAACCCATAATGGGCCAAAACCTAAATAACCAATCTTCACTCATTATTCATTCACTCACTTATTCATGAATACATCTATCCATCAAATAGTCACACCGAACACTGATTTGTCTAGGATCTGGAGTATGACTTAGAAATGAATAAGCAGGGGCAGCCTGGGTGGCTCAGCGGTTTAGAGTCACCTTCAGCCCAGGGCGTGATCCTGGAGACCCAGGATCGAGTCCCATGTTGGGCTCCCTGCATGGAGCCTGCTCCTCCCTCTGCTTGTGTCTCTACCTGTCTTTCTCTATGGGTCTCATAAATAAATAAATAATCTTTTTTAAAAAAAAAGAAATGAATAAGTAGCAGCCATTGCTTTTAAGGGGTTTATAGACTTCTGGGATAAACAGATGCACAATAACTCTCAAACTAGACAGATTCTAAGTGCCACAAGAGAGGAATGAACAAAATTCTATGCCAGCGGTTGAAAACTGGGAGCAAATCAGGCTGTATCTGGCCAGCAAATGTTTTGTTTGGCCCACATGGTGTTTTATTTCGGTCTTAGATTAGTTGCCAACACTTAAAAATTAGGGCATTTCACATAAAAATCCAAATTCATAGCTATTGGTTAAACAGGAAGATCTGGGCACACTAGGCCAAATTCCTGCAGGATAGTAATTGACAGGAGCTGAGCAGAAGCTGCCCCTTTCCGGCAGAGCATGAGATCTTTAGTTTGCCATACTCCTTGCCACTCCTTCTTATTCTCTGACATCAAAGTCAAATGTTCAAGGTACTAGGTATCAGCAGCTTGTGGCGGGTACTTTCATAATAGAGTTAAGAAAAAAGTAAAAATAATTTTTTAATTTATTTTTTATTTTATTATTTCTTTTTAAGTAGGCTCCATGCCCAGCATGGAGTCTAACATGGGGCTTGAACTCAGGACCCTGAGATCAAGAACTGGGCTGAAATCAAGAGTCAGACACTAAACCAACTGAGCCACTCAGGTGCCCCAAAGAATTTTTTTAAACCCAAATTTCTATTAAAAGTAGAAGTGGGGCAGCCCAGGAGGCTCAGCGATTTAGTGCCACCTTCAGCCCAGGGTGTGATCCTGGAGACCCAGGATCGAGTCCCACCTCAGGCTCCCTGCATGGAGCCTGCTTCTCCCTCTGCCTGTGTCTCTGCCTCTCTCTTGTGCTCTGTGTCTCTCATGAATAAATAAATAAAATTTTTAATAATAAAAGTAGAAGTGAAAGATATACTGGTAGGGCTATTCGTTTCAAGAGAAGTGGGGTGTAGAATCGCAGAATACTCCTAGCACAGACAGACAATTCCTTGAGTTTAAGATGCAAATAAACAGGGGCAGCTAGGGTGACTCAGTGGTTTAGCACCGCCTTCAGCCCAGGGCCTGATCCTGGAGTCCTGGGATCGAGTCCCAGGATCAAATCCCCCATCGGGCTCCCGGCATGGAGCCTGCTTCTCCCTCTGCCTGTGTCTCTGCCCCTCTCTCTGCGTGTCTCTCATGAATAAATAAAATCTTAAAAAAAAAGATGCAAATAAACATGTTCCATTATATTGCCCGCCTGCTTCTTGCAGGCATTTGGGTTTGCAACCTCTGTAACATGAGGGAAAAAAAATTTTTAAGGATTTATTTTTGTTTATTTATAATAGAGAGAGAGGCAGAGACACAGGCAGAGGGAGAACTCTCGCGGGACTCAATCCCAGGACTCCAGGATCACGCCCTGGGCCAAAGGCAGGTGCGAAACCGCTGAGCCACCCAGGGATCCCCAACATGAGGAAAAATTAAGGCAGTAGCTAACAGTATTGGCTTTGGAGTGAGAAAAAAGCTGGCTCCACCACTTACTTGCTGTGTGTGTGACCTTGGCGAATTAGTTACCCTCTCTCTGTGCTTCAGTCTCTCTGTGCTTCAGTTTTTAAGTAAAATAGAGGAACAGTACCTACCTCAGAGGGCTGTTGTAGAATGACAATGGGATAAAAGACACGAGGTTCTTACCCAGGACCTGGCGTGTAGTAAGCATTAGCTATTACTAGTGCAGAGCACAGGCGAGAGAGAAACCATAATCGAAGGGAGCACTATTGAATATTCAGGATTTTAATGTGAGGAGAGGAGGAAAGAAGGCACGCTTTCTGCACGCAGAAATGACTAAGCAAAGGCAAGAGAGGGAATGGCAAAGGTCCCATTCCAGTGGCCAAAACAGAGGCTGCATCATGAAGCTTGTAAAGATCAGCTAGGAAGATTTTCAAGGTCAGGTTGAGAGGAACTATCCAATAAGAACTATCCAATTTCCTAAAAGGTTTCATTGTAGGATGGTTTTAGCTGATGAAAATCGAATAGGACATTAAAGGCACCCCGGGGGGCTCAGGGGTTGAGCTTCTGCCTTTGGCTCCAGTCATGATCCCCAGGTTCTGGGATCGAGTCCCACATCAGGTTCCCCGCAGGGAGCCTGCTTCGCCTTCTGCCTGTGTCTCCACCTCTCTCTCTCATGAATAAATAAATAAAATCTTAAAAAAAAAAAAAAAGACATAGGACATTAACATCGACTCCTGAGACGAGAAAGGCATTCTCTTTTGATTCTGGTTCCAAGCTTCTGATGCTTTTCACCTCAAGCACCCCTCGGACCTCGCCGGCTAAGCGCCCGGCTCTCCAGGACACACCAGAGGCCGAAAGGCGCCCCAGCCGCGGCCTCGCGCTACAACCTATCACCACCGTTTTTGTTTCTCCCAACTCTGACTGTCCATGTATCTCACAGCAAGTGATACTTTCAAATATGGAGCAATAAAGTTTCTTTCCTTGTAAAACCATAAAGTGTGCACAATCACAATTGAGTGAACATCGGTGATACGTGGGAGAAAAACGCCAGGTAACCAAGAATTTGGGTCCTACATGCATGTGGCAAAAAACTGTGACGCTTTTGAGAAACCTTGTCACGGGAAATAAGATGAAGCCGGGATGGATTCCGACAGGCCCAGACTGTGATTCTGTGTAAAATCGCCTCCACCGGCCACAGCCTCACGCGTCGTACAGCCCCCACCCCCACCCCCGCCGCTCCCTCTCCAGGCCTCAATTTCTCCATCCGCAAAGGGGTAGGAGGGCCACCCTGCAGTCGCTCAGACCCGAGGTTCAGGGCCCTCAGCCCAGGCCGCGGGCCCGTTGCCCCTGGCAACCACGGGGGTTCCCGCAATGGTTCCCGCCAACCCCGTCAGCGCTCAGCCTCCCGCTCCTCCCGGACTACCCCGCTCCTCACCACAGCTCGGCTTTATCCCTCCACGTCAACACGGCCCTCATCGCGGCTTCCCTCACGCCTCAGGCCCCTCCTCCCGCCTCAGCAACAGGCCCCACTCCACCAGCCCCTTTGGTTACCTGCGCTACCCCTAGCAACGCACATGCGCAGTGAGCCTCGTGGGCTCGGCCGAATTCCGAGTGCGCAGGCCTAAAAGGCAGGGCCAGGAAAGGAGCAAAAGCCGAGACCGCAAGGAGCGCAAGAGGAGTCTGCGCAGCGAGGGCGCGCGCGACTGGCCGGAGAGGGCGGGGAGCGGCACGTCATCCGCGACGAAGGATTTGATTGGCTGAACCGTGGAAATGGCGGCCTAGCCGTGGGGCGGCTGAGGAGCCGCGGTGGAGCCTGACAGGCTTCCCCGCCTTCCGCGCTTGGTTTCAGCCTAGTGCTCTGAACTGAAGGAGTTTTGCTTCTGAGTCCGCTGTGCTCCGAGGGCGTGGCAGCTTCTCGGCCTGTTGCTGCCGTTGAAGCCCCCTTGAAGGGCATGGCTGGGATGGAGAGTGCGAGCCTGGGGGACTGCGGAGCTGCCCCCTCGGTCACCTCCCCTGAGCGCTTGGCCCCAGACCGGCCCTGGGACCTCCGGCAAGTGATGGTCCCTTTCGGGACTCCTTTTCACCATCTGTAAAATGGGAGCGGGGGGAGGGTGGGTAGAAGGCGGGTGGGCCTCGACAGATCTTGAGATCTGTCCGGGTTAGTTACTCGGAGCTTTGGCTGTAGCTCAGGACCTCTTCCAGCGGGTTCAGCCCTGGAGTGCATCCTGCTTCGTTAGCCGGGATGACGAGGGAGCTTTTGTGCACGGGGAGCAAGGAGAGGCCAGCTTGGATTGGAGGATCCTGGGAAGACCTTGGAGATGTCATGTTACGCAGCCCATGGTGCCCACAAAATGGATCCTATAGGGAGTTACAGGGGCGCCCGGTGGCTCAGTTGGGGTCACGCGTCTGCCTTCAGCTCAGGGCATGATTCCTGAGTCCTGGGATCGAGCCCCGCATGGGGCTTCCTGCTCTGCTGTTGGCCCTGCTTGAGCTTCCCGTCCCCCCCCCCCCAAGTAAATAAATAGAAAAGTCTTTAAAAAGGGGGGGAAAAAGTTAAAGATAGCCACAGTCTTGTTTCAAATACAGTACTTGTATATGTGGGATAAGGGGCTGAGATGATTTATCTTTTTTTCAAAATTTAATCCTCAGAATTACCTTAAAAAAAAGTATTACCTCCTTTTTACAGATGCAACAAGAAGACATTTAGAGGTTAAGGAACTTGCTCTTGGACACATAGCTAGCAAATGATAGAGTTGCAATTTAAAACCAGTCTGTTGACTTTTAAAGTTTCTCCTGTTTTCAACAGGCTTCAGTTTCCTTGTTCCTAAAATGTGAACTACATAATTTCTTAAGATCCACCCAGTTCCCCCAAAATTAACCTCAAATTACTTCAGAAGAAGTAATTCTAGAATTAGAATCATTAGAAGTGATTCAAATTCTAGCCACTAGCTCTTGCTTAGTTTCCCTATTGATAGAAAAGAAGTTGGGTTAGATATCTCTATAGACCCATCCAACTTTTAAAATGTGATTTAGTGATTAGGATACATACTACTGAAGTTTTGAATGATATTACAGGGGGAGAAGTAGTCGACCAAGATTTAGTGGGGCCAGGTTCTGCTATCAATTTTGCAAGTAACTTAAATCTTCCTGTCACTCAATTTTGTCAATAAAATTAGAGTAACTTTTGTCCTACCTACCACACAAGGTTATCATGAGAGTAGAAGAGATTTGAAGACTCTTACCAGAAAGTATTTACCTTTTTGTTACAACCTCCAAAGAAGAAAGTAATAGACACTCTCCCCCAGAAGACTGCAGATATATATAAAATTTTTACCTCACTTATTTGGGGAGAAGGAGGGTGTCTCATTGACTTTTAAGCAGTTCTCTTGATCCCAGGTTATGAGCTCACCTATTGGTTCATATTTTTGAATTTATGCCAACTGTCACCAGAAATTTATGTATAATAGCCCTATTCAGTGATTAACAGCAACAAAAAGTTTCTAGGGAATAGCTTGAGCTTTTCATTGTGCAGAGACTTCCAACCCTAAATAAGCCATGTTGGAGGACAGGAAGATACATAGCATAAGACTGTACATGCTGACTTTAATCTCTCCTGTAGTCTAAATAGTCCATATGGTTCCTGCTCTGCCATGGGTTGAAATTGAATAAGTAGAGGAAAATAAATTTTAAATGAGCTAATCACTCCGACTTTGTTTTTTTCAGTGAAGAAGTTGGTGCTCTGGGATCAGAAAGAGTGGGAGAAGATGAGAAACAAGTGCTGATAAAAAGCAACAGTGAGCGAGCATCCATGGTTTCTGCTCAGACTGGTGATACTACAATAACCGAATGCCATAAGACTGTCCCATGTGGATGGGAAAGAGTTGTGAAGCAAAGGTTATCAGGGAAAACAGCAGGAAGATATGATGTGTATTTTATCAGGTGAGTATTGCAAGGTGGTACAGATAGTACAACCAAATCATTTTATCTAGATAGGTAGTAGGAAAGCATCACAGGAATCTTGGCTTTTTTCTATTCTTTTTTTTTTTTTTTTAAGAATAAAATCTTAAATAAAATTATTTATTCAGGAGAGACACACACAGAGAGAGAGAGATATGCAGAGACACAGGCAGAGGGAGAAGCAGGCCGGGATCAGGTGCTGGGCTGGAGGTGGTGCTAAATCCCTGAGCCACCCGGGCTGCCCTGACTTTTTTCTATTCTTACCAGAAAACTATTATAGAATCTATTTCTTGAGTGTTACTGGTTAGTTATATCAAGTAATTTGGGGACATGTATACATCTACTGCAAACGGTTGCCCTTAAATTTGTAAATTTGTAAATAATTGTAAAATTATTTTATACTATCACAGAGGAAACTATTTAAAAGTACCACTTTATCACTTTAAAAAAATTCAAATGACAAATACCCATGGAGACGTTTGGAAATTATTAATTAAAATCTGAAATGTGGTCCAATTCTTTTTAAAAGTCACTTTTATTTACTAGCAATAAGTTTTCTTTAATATCATTTTCTAGCCCACAAGGACTGAAGTTCAGATCCAAAAGTTCACTTGCTAAGTATCTTCACAAAAATGAAGAGACTTCTCTTACGCCAGAAGATTTTGATTTTAGTGTTCTTTCTAAAAGGGGCAGCATCAAGTCCAGATATAAAGACTGCAGGCTAGCACCCGTGACATGCCAAATGCAAAATGAAAGTAACAGTTCAAACCGGAACCTCAGGACACGAAGCAGGTGGAAAAAAGATGTCTTTCCTCTACCAAGTGGTAGTTTGGAATTGCAAAAGAGCAGAAGACTGTCTAATTCTAAAGAAGATGAAGGTGTTAATGATGTTGACTCCAGAAAAGTTAGAAAGTCCAAAGGAAAGGTGACTGTTTTGAAAGAAATTCAAATTAAGAAAACTAAAACAAAGTGCCGGAAGGGTCCTCCAGATTCTACTCAAAGTAATAAGAAAAGAAAATCTGAGTATAAAAAGGCAGATACTGAAAGTGAACCTGTTGCAGGAGAAAGTCGGCTTGATAAAACACTCTCCATTTCTGATGCTGGAGCAAGCAACAAGACCCTCAGTGTGACTAATGAAGAAAAGAGACTTGTAAAAGAACAATCATTGAGTTCAGGATCAAATTTTTGCTTTGAACAAATAACTTCTGGCTTTATAAACAAATTATGTTCAACCGAAGAAGCAGAACACAACAAGAAATGTCAGGAAACCTTTTTAGAATCTGAGGAAATAAAAGTAGAAGTTGGGGAAAGGAAGGAACATTTGCATACTGACATTTTAAAATGTGGCTCTGAAATGGACAACAGCTGTTCACAAACTGAGAAAGATTCTGTTCCTGTGAGAATATGTCAAGGTATTCAGAGCACTAAAGCTGCTAATGAACGTGTGATAAGTTTATACCTCCAGATACTAGGTTTTATGTCTGTACTGTTAGGATGTGGGAACAGAATGAAGAAATAGAACCAAATATCTAATACATTCTACCAATTGATCCTAGTACCTTATTTAACCAATCTTTAAACCCTTTGCTACAACATAGAGGGAATTGGCTGCCTACTACCTTGATACTCCCAGCTAAGGAGAAGTGTGCCATTTACAGCTGCTACCATCTCTCCCTGGTGTGACAGCTGGGACTCTCCTCAACAGTGCTTTCTCTTCCCATTTTCTTTCCAGCCAGTAATAATATTATGCCTTTAGGGAAAATAAAAGGCTTCACTTGTGAGAAGGTTTGAGGAAGACTCCTTTTAATGTGTAAACTGGTTGAGAATATTCAGTGTCTACTCTTTTGCACCACTCCCATTATTTATTCCTGATGTATGACTTCCAATTTCATTTTGTACATATCATAGTCATTTTTATCTTCTATTATAATGTAATGCTTCTCTAAAGTGTTTTAGAGCTCTAAATAATTCAAAACTGTAATCACATAGTTCATCTATTATTTGTAATATGCCCTTAAATACAGAGTTTGGAGCTTAGCAGTTTTGCCTTTATAATACCTCAGTGAATAAAAAATAAAAAGAAGTCCTTTGAGCAGCCCTGTATTAGTTATTCATTATGCCATTATGGTATAATGAATAACTCCTTTAAAAAAGAAGAAGAATTTTACTTAAAGTCATGTTGGGAGACAGCCAGGGAAAATTGGTGGAGCAAGGGGTTAGACTTGATTCCTGTTCTCTGTCCCACTCTAATTTTATGTTTTTGTTGTGACTGGAATTCCTTTCCCTTTAATGGAAGATGACCGTATATACCTAGGAACTGCTTAAGAACTCAAGTCTGTCCTTTAAATACTTTAAGCTTCTTAGAGCTTTGAGGTTTGTGTAGCTTTATAGTGGGCAAATAAAATATTAAAAACATACTTTTGTGACCAAAATGGAAGTATCCTATTCATCCTACACATAAAGAAGTTCTCAACACAAGATGAAGTACTCTTAGTTTTGTCTAGTGGAATTGTAAACACTTTCCCATTGGCTTAGTTGGAAATTGCCAGGGAAACTGAGCTTCAGTCTCCTAGTAACAAAAGACCCTAGTTAATAATTATTTATAGGAATCCACAGAAGAAATTATCAGGTAACTAGTAAGAGCAATTTCCTTTATTCTCTTCTTTTACTTTCTACTAGGCTTTGCCTGTTTGAACGAGAATAGCAAAAAAAAACAGCTGATTATCTGGAAAGCTGGATGCCTATCCCAATCTGTAGTCAGTCCCACTCTCATTTTGGGATTATTGTCTAATTTCTAAGCCTTAGTTTGTTTGTCTGTAAAATAGAGGTTATAATCCTCACCAGTCTAGTTTTTCATATCAAGAATATTGCAAAGTAAAATGAGAAGTGAAAAAGATGGTTTCACACTATACAAATGCAAGGTATTATTAACTGACATTCAAATTTAGAGGGTAAGACTTTGGAGGGTATTAAATGTGATTTTAGAAACTTGGGAAGCCCAATAATGCTGGTCAAATAGTCTTTGTTACATTAACTGAACTTCTGAGTAGATCATGTTCTCAGTATTCCAATGTCCAAATCTTAGGTTTTTTGGAAAGCTCTGTTTCGTCTGTGTCCTTTTTTGTTTTTTTGTTAAGTGTAGAAGCATTCACTGCAGAAATTTTGGAAAATATAGAAAATTTAAAAAATATATAGAAAATTAAGGGAGAAAAGAAAGATTAGCAACAACCATTATACCATTTTGGTTTATTTCACTCTGCATTTTTTTTTAGTTGGGATCATATATAGAATATTGTTTTTGCACTTAAAAGTTAAGTGGGAGAAAATATGCATGATGTACTCTCAAAATGTTTTAATGACCACATTGTACAAACGTGTCATAATTTAAAGTATTCCATATTATTTCTAATTTTTCAGTACTAGGAACTCTGAACATAAATCACAGAGTACTAGTGTAACAGAGTGGTTAAAGTTATGGACTCAGAAGCCTGGATTTGAATTTCAGCTCAGACACTAGCTGTGGAACCCTGGCCACGTTACTTAATTTTTTTTTTCCACGTTACTTAATTTATCTTGACTCAATGTCCTTATCTGTGAGGCGAAAGTAAACTGTACCTAGCTTGTAGGTCATTAGTAGGATTGAGCTGGTTAATTTTTTAAAGTGCTTAGAATAGTGCCTGGCAGGTACTAAACACTTTATAATAGTAGTGTGTTATTTGCACCCCTGAATATTTCTCTAGGCTAAGCCATAGCTTCTATAAACAATGTTCATTATTCTTTTTCAGAAGATACCATTCCACGGACACAAATAGAAAAAAGGAAAACAAGCCTATATTTTTCCAGCAAATATAACAAAGAAGGTATCCCTTTCCCAATCAGAAAATCAGATTTTAAATCTGTTTCAGGTGTGCAGCTCTGATGTGGTGTGTTTGTTTAGTTCTTAGCCCCCCACGACGCAAAGCTTTTAAGAAGTGGACACCTCCCCGGTCACCTTTTAATCTCGTGCAAGAAACACTTTTCCATGATCCATGGAAGCTCCTCATTGCTACCATATTCCTCAATCGGACCTCAGGTTTGTAGATTATTTTAATCTTTATTTCAGAGACAGTATAATGGGGAGAAAGAGCACTGGATTCATTAGGAGGTCTGAGTTCAAGTTTAAGTTTGAGTCTTTGTGACCTCAGGCAAGGACTTCTCCTTTCAGCGCTCAAACTCTTCACCTATGAAGAGGTTAAACTAAATACATCCAGAGCCTTTTTAGCAATATTGGCATTTATTTTCTACTTGCAAATTAGTTTCTTCGGTCAGCCGTGAAAACCAGTTACTTAACATTCCTCCACCCTCTGCCGTGTGTAAAAGCATTTCTTTTTCATTGAGTACTTTCTTTAATGCCATTGGCACTTTGTATTCTTTATACTTTTATACTAGTTATCTGATGACTGGATTATTTGAAAACTAATAATCAGGAAAAGCTAAGTATCTATATGATTTAGCCTATTAGCCAAATAACCAATAATGTTAGCTTTTGACTCTGAAGGTGGTCACCAATTCAGGTAATGGCTTCTCATCAGAGGTTTAAAAAGAAAACCCTCTATATGAGATTTCTAGATGAGGAAGTACCTGAACTTAAAAAACAATCCATCCGGAGGCTTGTAATCACAGTTATTTTTACTTCCCAGGCAAAATGGCAATCCCTGTGCTCTGGGAGTTTCTAGAGAAGTACCCTTCGGCTGAAGTAGCAAGAACTGCAGATTGGAGAGATGTATCAGAACTCCTTAAACCACTTGGTCTCTACGATCTTCGAGCAAAAACCATTATCAAGTTCTCAGGTACTTTTCCTTTATGCCCAAAGGAAAGAACATACACTATGCCTATTTAAGAGAGCCACACCTTAAACTTTAATGGCCTCGAATACTACATTAATAGAGGTTATTCAGCTCAAGCACTGAAGGCATTTAAAAACAGTCCACTTGCCCCAAACCACAGTCTTTCATTGACCCAAGCAATAAATCTTTGCCCAACACTGCGGCCATCTTGGCAGGATTAGGGGAAGCAGTGAAGGAGAAAGCCCCCTTGACCTTAGGTCTTTGCCTCTTGTCTAGTTAGCACAGCCCAAAATAATATTGGGTAATAAGTGGCAGGTGAGAGGTTCAGATGAGTGCTGCAGGAATTCAGAAGAAAGAACCATTAGAACTGGGGTTGTTAGGAAAGATTTTTTGCTGTCCCTTTCTGCTGTTGTCACCATCCAGCTCTGCATCTCCACATATTTAGGGAAAGTATCTTTCTAGAGGTTGACCTGCTACGTGAGGTGTTGTATTTTCAGATGAATATCTAACAAAGCAGTGGAGGTATCCGATTGAGCTTCATGGGATTGGCAAATACGGCAATGACTCTTACCGAATTTTTTGCATCAATGAGTGGAAGCAGGTAAGGCCTACTCTCAGCCGTATGTTCAACACATTTTGTCTGGGAGGCAAAACAAGTCCATCCTTATAAACTATTTCTTGGGCACATGTACTATCACCATCACAACAAGTTTTGTTCCAAGCTTGAGGGGCAAGTGGTGGCATGGGGCTATTGGCAACAGCGAGAGAGGATCCATAGACACTCCCAACTCCATAAAGACTCCTTGGTTTGGCCTCTGACTGACCTCCAGCCCTGTGCGGTTATTCTCATTCATGCATAATCTAAGCCTGACGTGGTTCTCCTGTCACAGTCCTACTAGCCTTCAGAAATATACCACTGAAGGAAAACAGCAGGTTTGGGTTTGGAATGTATGCTTGTTGTATTTCTCCTACTGGTCTCAGACTGGTTTTGTGGTCAATGGGCCCTACTTTAGCTACCCAGTCAATTGGGTATGCCATGCCCACGGATAACCAGGAGGTGTCCTGGCAGCTGGCGGGTACTGCCAGGTGGCCTGGTACACTGCCCTCTTGGTCCGTGACTTGCCCTAAAGCATTCAGCCAGCAGGTCTGGCGAAACCCATCCCTGCTCCACCATTTATTGTGACCTGAGTAATCCATGTAATTCTCAGGTCTATAACTTCCTTCTGGAAAGTGGTGTATTAATACCTGACTCATGTTATCACCACCCTGCGTGGTATGTCATGGTGAAGATCAGTACTGAATTGGAAAGTATTTTGTGAAAGATTACCTTAATGTAAGATACAATTTTAAGCATTCATGAATCCAGTTAGGTTGAAGGTTCTAATTTTCAGGTATGGGCTATCATATTGTTGATATATTGTTCCCCTCCCATACCTTTAAAAAATGTATTTCTGACAAACTTAGGTAAGGCCTCTATATCCTAATGTGTTATATTTCTTCCAGGTACACCCTGAAGACCATAAGTTAAATAAATATCATGACTGGCTTTGGGAAAATCATGAAAAATTAAGTCTGTCTTAAAATTCTCTGAAATTTTCAAACTCATTTTCTGTACGTTACTTTGCATTTGATTCTTAAGAGCTCCATTAAGCACAACCAACCGGATTTAATTAGTCCAACTGGAAACATAATGCAGGTTTTCTTAATGTCTATAAAGCTGCTAGATCTTTGCTACTGAACGTACTAGGACATGTTTTGAGTTTTTTTTTTTTAAATAAATTGTTAAAAATAAATAAATAAATAAATAAATAAATAAATAAATAAATAAATAAATAAATAAATAAATAAATATAAAAAATAAAAATAAATTGTTATTTGACAAAAATCCTAAAAATGTAAATGTCTTTTCCAATAATAAAATGTGATCTGATGTTGAAAAAAAACTTTCATAAACTCTCAATAATACAAAGCAGATTTCTATCAATGTTTCTTTTTTTTTTTTTTAAGATTTTTAATTTATTCACTCATGACAGACACAGAGAGAGAGGCAGAGACACAGGCAGAAGCCTCATTCAGGGAGCCCGACGTGGGACTTGATCCAGGGTCTCCAGGATCACACCCCGGGCTGAAGGTGGCCCTAAACCTCTGAGCCACCCGGGCTGCCCTCTATTGATGTTTCTTAAGGAAAGATTAGACTTTCTGTTCTCTTTCTATAAAAATCCAATAACACAGTTGTTACATAAGATGCAAAGAGTTTGCAGCCAAATATGTAGGAAAAGATATTACAGGGTATATTAGGCACTTAATATTTTTACTAAAAAAAGATGACAGGTTCTTTTGTCATCATGTGTACTTGATGGTTCTGTGCTGGCTTTTAGGAATTAGAGATTTGACCCCAGCATCCATTTAATAACCTGTGAATATCTACCTGCAGCTTTGTTTCAGAGTATCAGCTTCTGGCTCATGCATTTTACCTTGACCCTATTGTGAAAGCTCAAACATTTACCCATCTCTTATCTCCAACTGGAGGACAGGACATTTTAAGTTTTGTGCCCTTCCCCCCCCCCTTTTTTTTAAAGATTTTATTCATTTATTTGAGAGAGAACACGAATGAGTGGGAGGGGCAGAGGGAGAATGAGAAGCAGGCTCCCCACTGAGCAGGGAGCCCAATGTGGGGCTATATCCTGAGACCTCCAGATCTTGACCTGAGGCAAAGGCAGACACTTAACTGACTGAGCCACCCAGGCACCCCTTGTGCCATTTTTAATAGAGGTACTGTAATGTAGCTCAAATACTGAAACATTTATCTTAGAAAGAACTCACCAAATAACAAGAAATCCCAAGTTAAGTCTCAAGTACCAATTGCCATTTTAGGGTATAATTGGAAAATTAAATTGACTGTATAAATGAAAAACAAGTTGTTAGGGAAACTACCTTTGTTGTAGGGTGGAGTGTACTGTGGGGCTAGTTGGTTGTTTCCACTTTCACGAACTAGTTTCAGTTTTTAGAGAGAGAATGGATTTTGACCAGAGAATGGGAAAACTGGCCACATCCCCCCTCAAGGCAAACATCCACTTTATAACATCCCATCATGTCTTTATTTAACAATCCTCAAAATATTATTTACTAAATGCAAAGCTCCATTCTGGGGAGGGACACAAAGACAATACAATTCAGTGAAGGATGGTACCTTATGCAGAGTGAGCACTCAAGTGCCTGTTTTTTAAACTTCGCTTATTGGGACAAAATTCACAATGTAAAAATCATCATTCAATTATGTTTAAAGTATACAACTAAATGGTTTTTAGTACACTCACAGTGTTCTGCAGCCAACATCACTAACTCTAAAACATTTCCGACACGTTAAGAAACCCCATGCATGTTAGCAGTCAAACCCAAAGCCACACGACTCCCCTCTCTCCAGCCCCTGGCAATTAGCAATCTGCTCTCTACGTCTATAGATTTGCCTATTCTGGGCATATCTTTTGTGTCTGGCTTCTTTCGCTTAACGTTTTTAAGGTTCATCTGTGTGGTAGCATGCATCAGTACTTCACTCTTTTTTATGACATTCCATGGTGTGGACAGAGCACATTTTGTTTATCCATTTATCTGTTGATGGGCATCTCAAGTGTATATTATTAATATTCTTGTTATCAGGTTCTGTATTTCCAAACCATAGCACCCTGTCATTAGGGGGCAAAGCATACTGCCTCTATTTGGCCAAAACTCTTGGGTTCCTACAACCCCTCTGGAGGAGGCCGGGGTTGTTTCTTGGATGAAAATGAAAGATGTGGAGACCGGCTGAAGATCCTACAGTTTTCAGGAAAACCAGGGATTTATTACTCCAGATTCGGGAACTACTGGGCCATACTAAGATATCCTGTCTTTCGCCAAGCCAGGAATTCTGCACGGCTCCGACTGCCTCCCGGGACCCACAAAAGGAGCAGGGTTACGCGGCGTTTGGGAGTGGGAGGGTCCGTCCCTCAACCCTCCCCCTCCCTCGGACTATGAGAGCGTGGCAGCGCTCAGCCAATCAGCGCAGAGCGTCTGTAGTCTTGGCAACAGCTGCTTCCAAGCTTGCCATTTGAGTCTCCTGCAGAATTTGGAATTTGTTTTTTGGTAATCCCGATACGCCAGCGCAAGCAAGCACAAACACACACGCACACACATTCACGCACACTCTTCAGCACCTGCTCCCCACGTTGTGAGCATGGACTACGATTCCTATGAAACGTATGAGGCTCTGTTCCTGCCGCTGCTCGGTAAGCCCCCGGGAAGCAGCACCTTGCAGACGCGTGCAAGTGGGGCGAGGGCAAGGACGGGAATGAATATCTCATTGTGCCGTCCCCACTCTGGGTAAGAGGTTGTCAGGGAGTCAGGGGCAGGTCGTGCACATTTGTCAGATTTCCATGCCCAGGCTGGGGGAGTGGGCCAAGTTGCCTTGGTCTGAAATAAGAGGCCCAACCCTTGTGCCCAAGGAAAGACATCCACATTCTCTGGCCCGGCCTCTGCCCCATTTCTCCATTGGATATTAATGTGTTGGGTCCTGGAGAAGAATCATGGAGAAAACCATCAGTCTTCAAACCTTACACGATAGCCCTCTGCTGCAAAGCCCTCCAACTTCAGAGGTGAAGGGCAGGCAGATAAATGAATAATTACAGAAGAAGGGGTGGATGCCAGATCTGGGGCTGACACCCAAAACTAGGAGATCTGCTAGATGTAGAGGATGGGGATGAACAGTTCCAAGGTTCTGGAAGAGATCTTTATACTGGCATTTAAGGATAGAAGGAGTTCTCCATGCCAAAAGGGAGAGGAAAGGTGTTCCAGGCTAACAGAACCACATGCAGAGAGGCTCAGACATATGGTGTCTTCAGGAAACTGCTGGTAGTTTGAGTATTGCTGGGGATGAGAGGTGAGAAAGGTCAGAAGGGAGGAGATTGTGGAAGATCTTGTGAGCCAGGAGATGGAGGAGCCACTGGGGAATGGCATCAGCGAATGCAGAATGAATTGGCAGACTTGGAATGCTGGAAGCACAGAATGATGAGATATGGGGCTGTCCGAAATGTCCAGACCAAAGATACTGAGAGGTGAGGGACAGTGGCCAGGCTAGAGGGGACTAAAGGGATGTAGGGGCTGGTTGACAGGGAACACGGAAAGAACAATCAAAGATGATGCTCAGGTTGGTAGCTAGGGTGACCCAGAGATGGAGGTACCTTTCACAAAGATGAGGAACCTAACAGGAGGAACAAATTCAGTGGAGACGGGACATGGAGACCAGCGTAGTCTTAGTTGGTTGAGTCTGAGATATTTGTAGGCCATCTGAGTGGAGAGCCTTTAGGAGCAAATATATGTAGAAAGTTAGAGCTAATTTCAAGTCATAAATATTGGTACAGGTGTCCTCAGCATATAGAAGGCCACAGAAATATGAGAGTAGAGGACAGATTGTTTGGGGGAAGGAAGGAAGGAAGGAAGGAAGGAAGGAAGGAAGGAAGGAAGGAAGGAAGGAAGGAAGGGAGAAATAAAAAAGCAAGCCCAGGTGTAAACCTGGAAGGCACCAATTTTAAGGGGTGGGCAGGAAAAGAGGAGCCAAATAGCAAGTGGCTAGAGAAGTAGGATGGAACTTAGGGAGAGATTTGAATCAGAGCTAAGACAAACAATTTTGAGAGCACTGAATTGTCTCCAGATACCTAAAGGGCTGTCCCCACAAAGAGGGAACAAATGTGTTCTCTGGGGCACCAATGGGGAGAATTAGGACCAAGGGGTAGAAATTCCAGGAAAACAAATTTTGGGTCAATATAAGGAAGTCTTTTCTAGCAATCAGAATTAGGCATCCAGAAGGTAAAGTAGAGAACTCCCTGTCACCAGAGGTGTGTGCAAGTGAAGGCAAAATCTGCCAGGGTCATTGCAGAAAGAGTTCTCTGACCTAGGGAGGCAACAGGACTAGCTAGCCTCTGAAAGCTGTCCTCACAATCCCTTGGGGACATTCTTACAGTCTCTACTCACAACTATGTGGTGATCTCTTTCATTGTAAGAGCCCATCTATCTTTCCTATCAATGGACACAAGACCCCAAAGATCACTAGAATGGAAGTTCCATGGTGTGGTGGGCATGTGACCTTTGATAGAGTAGTCAGGGTGAATTTGAGGGGAGTGCACTTGGGCTAAGAACTATATGGTGAATATCTTGGGGAATCCCATGACCTTCTGAGGGCACAGCAAATGCCAAAACCAAGTTGGGATGGAGCTAGGAGAGTTGGACAAAGAGAGAGCAGACATGCACAGCTGGAGCAAAGTGAATAAGGGGGAGAGAGGTGGGGGAGATCAAGGAGAAGTAGGAGCAGGGCTGAAGTATATAGACTGGTGTAGGCCATTGTTTATTATAAGGGTACTGAGGAGCCATTTCAGTGAAGTCATTTAAGGGAGTCATTCTTCTGGCTAAGGGAAGATCATGAATTTGGGGGTCTAAGGAGGGCACAAGTGGCAGTGACAAGGCCAGGAAGTCGCGTATTTTGAGTATGTTCCCATAGTCAACATGATAAAGTTTAAACTCCTTAATCTGGCATCCAAGATGATTCCAACTTTACTTACCATTAACCTCCTCCTTCATCTACAACGTGCTTCCAACTTACAGAACTATTTAGTAACCCTAAAATCCCCAAACCCTACTCCTGACCATTCCCCACACAGGCCCCTCCACCCCTTGAAATCTGGCTTATTCTTGAAGGCACAAGCCAATGCCTCCTCCTTCATGATGACCTTCTGGGTCCCTCCATCAGCATTTCTCCCCCAACTGAAAGCATCTGGTTACCCTTCTGGTAACCCCACCTTGTCCCATGCCTGCACACTGTGGTTGAGCGTCCAGCCTCATTTGGATCTGCACCTGGCCATGCCAAGTACTGGATGATTCTCAGTGAATGCTGGTTTGATGAATGGCTACATTCTCAGTTGTAGCATCTTGTCCTCAAAGAAATGATAAATCGGTGCTAAGAAGCACTCACCTCTGTTCACATTGATGTAGACCCACTATTTCCTGACCATGAAAGAAACACATGGGCATTGTAAGGAGACTTAACAAATGTCCTGCATGTTCACTTTGTGCCAGGCTAGGCACCATGGATACATAGGAACTAAGACACATTCCTTACCATTGGAAAACTCACAGACTGTTGGGAGAGAAAGACTCAGAAAGCATCTTCATCCAGAAAAATATGGTAAATGCTATGATGGGGATGAGTATGGGCACTGTGAGAACCCAGAGAGGGCATGGCAGGGGAAGGATTCAGGGAATGGTGATGCCTAACCTAAGTCTCGTAGAGCATTCCAGAGAAAGGAAACGGCATGTGGTCAGGACAAGGGGGAACCAAGGAACCATAGTCAGCTCAGTTTGTGGCACAAAGACAGGGTGAGTCCAGAAGGAACAAAAGAAGGAGCCCATTAGAGGGGCTGGCAGAGGTGGATGGTCAGGTGGAGCTAGGTTAAGGAGATTGAATTTTATTTTGGAGGCAATGAAAGGGTTTTAAAGCAGGGGAGTTTGGGTTTTAGAAGGAAAATATGGTCATAATATTTTTAATAATAATGCTATATCCCTTCTGAATTTTAGAACATATCTGTTATTCATTTGCTCTACCCTAGCTCTGCTACTAATCAACTGTGTGACCTTGAGCCTCTCTGGGCCTTAGTCTGTAAAATGATATAATTATAGAGCTATTATGTCTGCCCATTTGACATCCACTCATTCACCAAATAATTCCTGAGCTCCCTCTATATGTTGGCAAGTAGAGGTGCTGGGGCTTCAGCAGGGAACACGATAGATGAGGTCCCAGTCCGTAGTCCGTAGTCTATTGAAAAACTAAACAACCAAGCAATTGCACCAGGAATTTCAAACACAAATGTCTGGTTGAAGCACGCACTTAATAAGTGACCTCATCTGCATGTGAGACAATAGAGAATGGTGGGGGTATGGCAGACTGGAGAGGACATGCCCCAGCCTAAAGTAACTCAAACTGGAAATTTTTAAGGAATATGTCAAACAAAACAAAGGACCCCAAGCCTCATTAGGCACAAGGGCCACCTATTTTACATACCTGTGATAAGTGGTCCAAAGGAAAAGTATAGGTTTATGCAGAGATAACATGAGGACATAACAGAGCTTGGGAGCTGGAGAGGTAGCATGTGGTCTAAGGATGAGGAGTAAGGAGGGGATGGATGGGGGAGGGAGCATTTCCAGCAGATGGAACAACACATGCAAAATCCTTAGGCAGGATGGAGCTTGGACCATTCAGGGATCACTAAGAGAAGGTCAAGGCATCTGGGATATAGTCAGGAAAGATAGGCAAGTGATGAGGTGGGAAGGGTTGGCAGAGCAGGGTCATGAGACTTTACTCTGAAAGTCATAGAAGGATTTCAAAACAGGTGAAGGATAAGTACATAAAAAAAAAAAAACACTGTGTACTTACTATGAACAAAGCACCTTTAAAATGGACTGATTCTAACCATCTCCACCACTTCAGTACAGTAGGTACCCTCTTTCTTCCCATTTTATCATGAAGAATTGAGACAGACATGCTAAGTAACTTGCCCAAGATACAGCCATGAAGCAAGTCATCATCTGCTCAATGATCAAACCAAATCACAGTGGCATTTTTTTAAAAGATTTAATTTATTTATTTGAGAGAGAGTGAGAGCATGCATGAGTGGGGGTAGGGGGCAGAGGGAGAGGGAGAAGCAGACTCTCTGCTGAGCCACTCAGACCCAAAGATTGTGATCTGAGCAGAAGTCAGGCACCTAACCAACTGAGCCACCCAGATGCCCCCAAAATGACATTTTAAAAAAAGATTTTATTTATTCATGAGAGGCACAGAGAGAGAGGCGGAGACATAGGCAGAGGGAGAAGCAGGCTCCACTCACGGAGTCCCTGATGTGGGACTGGATCCCAGGACCCTGGCATCATGACTTGAGCCAAAGGCAGATGCTCAACCACTGAGCCACCCAGGCATCCCCCCAGAATGGCAATTTTAAAAGATCATTCTGGTGGTGCCTGGGTGGCTCAGTCCACTAAGTGTCCAACTCTTGGCTTCGGCTCAGATCATAACCTCAGGGTTGTGAGACTGAGCCCCATATGGGGCTCACACTGGGCGTGGAGCCTACTTAAGATTCTCTCTCTCTCTCTCTCGCCTTCTGCCCCTCTCCCTACTCATTCTCTCTCTCTTTTTCTCTCTCTCAAATAAGTAAAAAATTTTTAAAAAGATCATTCTGATTGCCAATAAGGAGTACTGGGGTGGGGTTGGGGTGGGGAGGCATAACATCAAATAAGAAAAAGCACATAAAGTGCTTAGCATAATGCCTGCCATCAGGAATATGCGATCATATTATAGCAAACAATGAGAAAGCCATGCCTGGAACCCAGATGTCCTGTCACCCAGCCTGGTGCTGTAGCATTTTTCTTTTCCTGACTCTGTTAGTCCTCTTCCTGAAAGAAATTCACCTCTTAACACTATTCCCCCCACCCCCCAAGAGCTCTGCCATTCTAAGACCTCCAGTGATGATGAAAATGCCACCATGGACCCCATCTTCGATCCTGAACTGGTCATTGCTCACTGCTTCAAGCAGTTCAAGCAGAAGGACTTCCACCTGCCTCAGAGCCGCCGGAGGATCATCATCTTGCCTCAAAAAGAGGATCCGATACCCATCAATCTCATGGCCCAACCCCAGACCCCCCCACAGCCAATCTCCAGCTTCAAAGCCCTGGGAACTGGGGACATCCAAGGGCAGCCAGAGGATGCGAAGACCTGGCTCAGCCAGAGGTTGAAGCTTCGGAAGAATCTGGAGTCATTTGGCAACATAGAGAGGTGGCTGCAGAACAAGCCCTGCCTCACCCCTTCAGAGGCCAAGGTCTTATACATGATCCAGAAGGAGCATGAGGCCCAGTTGGTGGCCCATCTAACTCCTACCAGAGCCACCAAGGTAAGCAGCCCCATTTGCTGATGAAGACACTGAAGGCGTTAGGGGCATACTGTCATTTCATTCCCTCAGACTAGGCAGGGTAGGGATCATTCACCCCATTTCAAAGAGGAACATAGAGAAGTCCCAAAAAGTAAGTGTATTGGTTATTTGTTGCTGCATAACAAATGCCCCCAAGCATTAAAGCCACAAATGTTTATTATCCCATGGTTTCTGAGAGTTGGGAATCTAGGAGGAGCTTCACTGGTTTCTCTGGCTAAGTGTTTCATCTCAAGTTGCTGGCGTGCACCACAGACCTCTGAAGGCTTGACTGAGGCAGGAAGATCTGCTTCCAGACTAGCTCACTTACGCAGCTGTTGGCAGGGGGACCTCAGTTCCTGGCCACAAGGACCTCTCCATAGGATTGTTGAACAGCCTCACCACACAGCAGGCAGAGTCTCCCAGAGTGAATGGTCCAAGGGACAGAGCAAGGTAGAGAGCTGAAATGCCTTTTTGTGACCTCATCTCAGGAAATCTTAGTTTTAGGAGAATCACATGATCACTTTTACCATATTCTATTTGTCAGAAGCAATTCATTAAGTACTGTCCACACTCAAGGGGAGGGGAATCAGACTCTATCTCAGAAGGAAGGAGTTGAAGAATTTGCAACCATATCTTAAGACCACCCTAGGAGGGATCCTTCCTGGCATTTCATCTATGGGGCCTTTTAAAATACTCATTGTTCATTCATTTGTTCAAGACACGTATCTTGAGGGCCTATACATGCCAAGCAGGTGCTCCTAGAGCTACTGGGAGAATCACAGTTTTGAGGTTGGAAGAAAAAGGAAGAACTCTCTTTTATAAATACAGAAGCTCAGTGAGACCCATCAATTGTTCAGACCCATAGAGGTAGTCAATGGAAGTCAGTATCAAAGCCCTCATCCCCCAGTGCTTGCTCTCTGTGACATTTCCTTGTTATGTGAACATTTGAAATTTCTCCCCATTCGTATGAAGTGGGATAAGAGGTCAGATAACTTGGGTTTTTTTTTATGATAGTCACAGAGAGAGAGAGAGAGAGAGAGACAGGCAGAGACACAGGCAGAGGGAGAAGCAGGCTCATGCACCGGGAGCCCAAAGTGGGATTCGATCCCGAGTCTCCAGGATCGCACCCTGGGCCAAAGGCAGGCGCTAAACCGCTGCGCCACCCAGGGATCCCGATAACTTGGGTTTAAACCTAGCTCTTGCTACTTCCGAGCTCTATGATCTGGGCCTTAGTTTCCCAATCTATTAAATGGAAATAACCTTTGTACCTACTTCCTAGGGTTGCTGTGATGTCTAAATTGATGAATTTATATAAAGTACCTTGGACAGTGCCAGCCATAGAGAGAGCACTTGATATTGTTTGCCATTTTGATTACTACTGCCATCTCACTGATGTCAGAGTCAGTCCTTGGTGTAATCAGAGTCCAAACCCATATTTCATAGGTGAAACCCATATTTCACACCCTTCCTAACAGCAGCAGTGTCTATGAATATGTGCTGGATTTGGGTTAGAAATCCAGCCCTACTGCATAAGTGTTGTGTGCCCCTGGACACATCACTTCACTTCTCTGAACCTGTTTTCTCATTTGTAAAAAGGGGAAGCCATACCTAATACCTAATTTAAAGCATCATTCATCCGTTTAGCAGACAATGACTGCCTATCTGCCTAGAGCTGTAGGTGCTTTCTCAGTAGGCATACTGGGGAGGGGTAGGAGGGGTAAGGGTATGTATTTAAATAAGGCATCTTCTTGCTTTCAAGATTATTCACATGTTAATAGGGCAGGCAGACATATCAGTTTGAAGACCAGTTTTCTAAAGGCAATTAATAGAGGTAGATCCCAAACACAGATCTATAAACTAGGGAACAGAAAAGCCCTTTGTAAGCTGTCAGGTGCTGCACCAAGGTAAGAGAGCATTATTCTGAAATATCCCAAATTAACCTGGAATTAAAGAAAGACTAGGATTTGGACAGGTAGAGAAGGAAGGAAAGGTATTCTGGGCAGGAAGCCCAGCAGGAGCAAAGGCTGGGAGGTGGGAAGATCAGAGAGCCCCATGTGGCTCCAGACAGAGGCATGTGTTTGGTGCACTGAGATCCCAGTGGGAATATAACCCTGGCTTGCCTAACAGGAGAGATATGGGTAGGAATGAAATGTTAGCTCTCATAATGTCCAACCTTCTTGTATCTGATGGGAAAGTGTAGGGCCAGAGATGCAAAGTATCCCTGGCGAAATGCAATTGCCCTGAATCCAATGCTCCTTGCACTCCATTTTACTGTCACTGTGAAGCGGCTCAGCCCTCCCTTCTCCCTGTTTGGTCTAACTCCAGGCACCCCTTGCCAGCGGCCCGTCTCCCCTGAATTCTCCCCTCTGTGCCACTCTCTTGCCTCTTGCAGAAGAGCCACCGGCCTTCCTGCCGACTTGTGCCCCAGCTCCGACTACCCAAGCCCTCTGCCTTGTCAGCCTTGTACTCCTACCTGCACAGCCGGAAGATCAAGATTCTGGAGTTATTTAGCAAGGGGGACAGGAGCGAGAGCCAGAGGATCTCTAGGGAGGAGTTCATTGTGGCTCTGAAGGCGGTAAGTGCCTCCCGTGCTCCCTCTGGGCTGGCCCGAGTTGGGGAAGATGTCCATGCACCTGCCCCCACTGCTGCCTCCACCCAGGTCCTGGACCAGCTGAAAAGTAGGCATAGGGAGCTCAAACCATTGGCTTTGTTACTTGTTTGCTTTGTTTGTTTTTTTTTTTTTTTAAGATTTTATTTATTTATTTGGGAGAGATGGAGCAGAGCAAGACAGAGACAGAGAAATTGAGAGAGAGAAAGAGAGTAAGAGTGAGAGTGAAGGGCAGTGACAGATAGTGAAGGTCAGCGGGAGAGGGAAAAGCAGACTCCCCTCTGAGCAGGAAGCCCAGTGCAGGGTTCCATACCAGGACCCTGAGATCATGACCCGAGCCAAAGGCAGATGCTTAACTGGCTGACCCACCCAAGCACACTCAGCCTTATTACTTGTAAAGCCAGTTTGGAAAATGTGGCATAACTTGTGGCCATATCAGACCCCTAAAAGCACCTCTGCATGCATCTGACCTCAAAAGCCCTTACCTGAGTGAAAAGTCTCCAGAGCAAACCCCATAACCATAAGCAGTCAGCTGCATAAGGAATCACTGTCTTGCCCATTGGACCCCAGAACTGAGCACAGAGATTGCTGGGCCTCCAATCCTGCCTCTAGAAACTTCAAGACCTTCTCCAACTGTCACTGGCATATGATCACTTAGAGGTCTTGTTCTGACCTCAGCTTCTGACTCAGTACCTCTCTGCTGCATTCTAACAAGCTCCCAGCGATGTCTATGGCACTACTCTACGGGCCACACTTTCACTGGCTATCCAAAAATTTTAAATAATTATAAATAAATAAAATTCAAAAATCCAGTTCCTCAGTTGCACCAACCATGTTTCAAGTGCTCAGTAGTCACACGTGGTGAGCAGTTCCTCTATTGGATCACAGATATTGAACATTCCTATCAGTGCAGAAAGTTCTATTGGTCTAGTAGGGGGTCTGCTAACTATGGCCCAGAAGTCAGATCCAGTCAGCGTCTGTTGTTGTAAGTAAAGTTTTATTGGAATGCAGCTACACTCATTTGTATGTATTGTCATGGCTGCTTTCATGCTACAATGGCAGAGTTGAGTAGTTATGACAGAGATCGTATGGTTCATGGAGCCTGAAATATTTACCATCTGGCCCTTTGTAGAAAAAAGTTTGCTGGGTGGCTCAGTGGTTTAGTGCCGCCTGCAGCCCAGGGCGTGATCCTGGAGACCTGGGATCGAGTCCCACATTGGGCTCCCTGCATGGAGCCTGCTTCTCCCTCTGCCTGTGTCTCTGCCTCTCTCTCTTGCTCTGTATCTCTCATGATTAAATAAAATAAAATCTTAAAAAAAAAGAAAAAAGTTTGCTGACCTCTGGCCTGGATGAATTAAGCTTTTATATACTTTGAATACAAATTACCTTTACAGAACACTTTAGGAAGCGGACTGTTACATCTTTTACGGTTTTTGAATATTTTTTTAAAGATTTTATTTATGTATTTATCTATGAGAGACACACACAGAGAGAGGCGGAGACACAGGCAGAGAGAGAAGCAGGTTCCATCCAGGGGCCCAACGTGGGACTTGATCCTGGGGTCTCCAGGATTGCGCCCCGGGTCGAAAGCAGGCGCTAAACTGCTGAGCCACCCAGGGATCCCCCTCTTTTATGGTTTTAAATCATCACCAGTTTGCACACTATTGTTTCGTGACATGTACTTATATGAACATTTCAAAACATTTAAAAAAACAACAAGGGGTTTTTTTAACATTAAGCCCTTTCATAGCAGGAGAGTTCTGACCCTCTTTAAGGAAAGCTCAATGAACGATGACTGCGGTCTAAAGAAGCTACAGAACAAAATTATATTTCCTTTAAAACTCTTCTTGGGACGCCTGGGTAGCTCAGTGGTTGAGTGTCTGCCCTTAGCTCAGGGTGTGATCCTGGGGTCCTGGGATCGAGTCCTGCATCGGGCTCCCTGTGGGGAATCTGCTTTTTCCTCTGCCTGTATCTCTGCCTCTCTCTTTTAAAAGTGTTTTAAAAAAAAAACTCTTCTTCTTGAATATTTGGAATTGCTGGCAAGCATTATCCTCCTACAAAGATGCTCATGGTCCTTCAAAGAGTAACATGTATTGTATTTCTGATCCTGTCTTACTTCAGTTAAGGGAGGCTTATGCGTTTCTCATGGACAAGGATGGTAGATGTGAAACCCTTTTTCCAATCCAGTTTGGGAAAACTGTCATTGACATTGCTATGGAGTGGGGTGGTGGTCCAGAAGGAAGAAGTAGCAGGCTCTGCAAAGATGGTGGCTTATCTGGATTGGGTTTTCAAGGAGGGATAGGAGTTCTTCAGATAGAAGAAGGAAAGGCCTAACTAAAGGCAGAGTGTGAGAAAGTGCAGAGTGTGTTCAGGGCCTGGGAAAGGGCTATGAGCTCCTGCGGCAGAGGCCTTGGGCCTTGGGTGTGAGCTGGGAATGGCAATGATGAAACTAGAAACTAGATAGGAGAGGAGAGGTGGGGCCAGCTGGTATGGCTTTGGCCATACTGGCAGGATGTTTGGATTGGAGCCTGCCCACCTTGGTGGCTTCTCTTCTCTCCGCAGGTTGGAGTCCCTCTGAAAAACCAGGAAGTGGAAGATATAGTGATCTATCTCAGCTCTCTGGGAAAGCACAACAACATCACCACAGACATCTTGTTCAACACCTACAAGCAGTGGTCTTTAGCTCATCAAAGAAGCACCCTGTCAACTGGAAGGGAATGTATGTATCCCCTCCACCCGCATGCCTCCACTTCCCCATCCTGGGAGCAAGCATGGTAGAGGCAGACTTGACTTACTTCCTGAGTATGTTCTCCAACTTTGGCTTACCATAGGTGGGCCAAGCCTCTGGAATCCCCAGGCCTAGCAATCAACTGAGGAGTAGATATTCTCTTGAGTGCCCAGCTACCACGTCCATTCAAAGATGAATGAGGCCCAGCCCTTGTCCTTAAGGGAAAATTTTCAAAAGGTGGTTTCAGCCCACCAAAGCTTACCTAATAGACTGAGATCTGACCAGAACAGAAAGCCTCTCCATTGGAATGTGGGCCCAATGCCTTCTTACTATCAATCTATATTTTACTGATAAAAAGTTAACTAAAATTCAGAAACAAGAATTAACACGTTTAGAATTTACTGGAAAGTCTACTTTGATCATCTATTGGGGATATTAGCAGGGCTGCTGTGAATAGTTGTATGAGTTGTGCACAGCGCAAGTTCCACTTGCTAGGCCATGTGCTTATAGAACCACATCTGTCCAGATATAGTACAGAGGCAAATTGGAAATGGACTAGCCTTGGGATCCCTGGGTGGCGCAGTGGTTTAGTGCCTGCCTTTGGCCCAGGGCGTGATCCTGGAGACCCAGGATCAAATCCCACGTCGGGCTCCCGGTGCATGGAGCCTGCTTCTCCCTCTGCCTATGTCTCTGCCTCTCTCTCTCTCTCTCTCACTGTGTGCCTATCATAAATAAATAAAATTTAAAAAAAAAAAAAAAAAAAAGGAAATGGACTAGCCTTGGCACTGGCTATGAATTTACTCTACAGCACAAGGGTGCATCATGGTTCTTTATAGCTTAATGCCACTGTTGTTTAAAAAAAATTAAAATTGAACAACAGATAAAATTAAAGCCCTCCTTTAAACCTCCACCCACCATTCCAGAGCCTTCCCCAAATGTAACTAAATATAACATATAATAACAATTCTATAAAAAATAAAATAAATAAAAAATAAAATTAAAAAAAAACAATTCTAACAATATAATGTATCTCCAAATATAACCTCTTTCTTTTTCTAAATTAAATCTTGCTTTGCCCCCACCCATCAGGTTGGCAGGAGTTTCATTTCAGACATGTTGGGTGGGGCATTCTTCACCCTTTCTGGGGTCATGTGAGAGTCCTGGGGGTGAAGGTAGTGGAAGGGCTCCCTTGCCTCAGTGAAGATTTGGGGCAGGGCCTCTGGAGTTCAGGTACCACTGAGCTGGGAGCTCAGTGTCCTCACTGGTTGGCCCTTTTGGAGGCAGTGGGCAGCTGCCATAGAGAGCTTCACCCACTATACAGCCCAGATTTCCGCCCTCTAGTCTCAACGAGCTACTGGGCAGAAGCCCACAGACCCAGGCAGGGAACTTGAGCACCCCCCAGTCACCTCTTGCATATGTCATCACCCACAGTCATAATCTCTAGCACCCTCTGTGTCCAGCACATGCTCCTAGCTGCCTGGAGTTGGGCATGCTTTCCCATCCATGCTCTTTTTGCCTTTTCATTATAAATGATCAAAGTTCACCATTATCCATTCAGTTGTCTGTGAACCATTTAGTGAATGATCACAGTGCACCACAATGCATGTTTGCAGCAAAGGTATTTGGGGCCTATTATTTTCCAGTAAACAGGCTTGAAGCCAAGAGCAGGTATTTGTTTGCATGGTACCACTCAGTGTCATCGCTGAACCCCTACTCCTGGACAGCAGCAGTGGGCAGGGTAAGAAGACTTGGGTATCTTTAGCTTGTCTTAAAGGGGGAGCAGCATGAAGAATCTGGGTGCCCAGATCAAAGACAGAAAGCAGTTGCAAAAAAAATAAAAATAAAATAAAAAAAGAAAGTAGTTGCATTTGAGGCTGGCTAGCTTACCCACAGCAGTAGCTCAGATTATCCTTCAAGTCCCTGGAAATCAGAATATAAATAATAGTGAAAGGGAATATAAGGGAAGGGAGAGGAAATGTGTGGGAAATATCAGAAAGGGACAGAGAACATAAAGACTCCTAACTCTGGGAAACAAACTAGGGGCGGTGGAAGGGGAGGAGGGCGGGGGGTGGGGGTGAATGGGTGACAGGCACTGAGGGGGGCACTTGACGGGATGAGCACTGGGTGTTATTCTGTATGTTGGTAAATTGAACACCAATAAAAAATAAATTTATTAAAAAAAAAAGTCCCTGGAAATCAGAGCTCCATTTCACGCTCTACAAGGAGGAAGCTGAAGTTCAGAGACGCTGAGCCACTCGTCTATAGTCTCAAAACTAAAAGGTGCTGGGCCACTAGACGATGGCTGGGCCACGATTTCATTTCAGTCTGGGACATTTTGGTCCTGAACCAGACAAGGGCAATGAGAGGCTTTCATTCATTCAGATCTTTGTTGAGCACCTGCTACATGCCAGGCACACTCCTAGAAACTGGGATTAATGCTTTGAAGACAATAGGACAGAGTGAGGGAGTGGTGGTCAGGGAAGGCCTCTCTGCAAAGCGGCCCTTGGAGCTGACACTTGAATGACTGATGAGGAGTCATTCTGGTGGAGGGCATCCTAGCAGATTGGAACTGCAAAGGCAAAGGCCCTGATTCGGGGAAGTTTTCAGGGGGCAGAAAGAAGTCAGAGTGAGCAGAAGGAGATGGAGCTGGTGGATGTTGAACTGAGGCCAGATTCTGCAGAGCCTCGCAGACTAGGAAGAGGATTCTGGGTTTTAGTCCGAATGCTGTGAGAAGGCAGTAGAGGGTTTTTTTGTTGTTGTTGTTTTTAAGATTTCATGAGAGACACACAGAGAGAGGCAGAGACACAGGCAGAGGGAAAAGCAGGCTCCCTGCAGGGGAGCCCAATGTGGGACTCCATCCAGGACCCCAGAATCACACCCTGAGCTGAAGGCAGACGCTCAACTGCTGAGCCACCCAGGTGTCCCCCCAGTAGAGGGTTTTAAGCAGGGGAATGTGATTCTATTTTTTAAAGGTCCTATTTGCTATTTGATGGAAACAGGATGCTAGAGAATGAGAATGGCAATGGGAAGGCTGGGGCTGTGGTGCAGGTGAGGGAGCAGGCGGCCTTGCCCGAGGGAGGCCAATAGCAGCCGGAGACCTAGAGAAGGGATACCTTCAAGGTCCATCTCAGTTTGCGCTGACTGGCCGTGTGGGAAGTGAGCAGAGGGGTTGCCCGCACCTGTGTGGTCACATCAGTTAACTGCTCGGTGGGTTCCTGAGCTGGGCCTCCTCTCAGTCTCTCTTTCCTTTCAGATCACAGATCCACCAAGCACAGAATTTCCCCGCAGAGTCCAGCCAAGAAGCAGGTGGGTTTCGCCCCACAGCCTCCCAAGATGGACCTGCTGACTGTGCCTGAGGTTGACACCCAGATGGAGGCACGGCCGTTGACTCTGGAGGAGATGGAGGATGTTGGCAAGCGGTACCGTGAGAGGAAGCGGCAGCACAAGGTACCCCGGCCAACGGGAAGGGCATGGGGCATGGTGTCTGGACAGGATCGGGTTCGAGTCCACTGCACCTTGGGGCTGGGAAACTCCCGGCAGTAGGCTTCCTTACCTCTGTGTTCCCTCATCCGATCATGAGAACAACACCTACCTCATGAGATTTCTCTGAAGATGAAATGAGATCATGAGATTATGTTCCCCTCCTCCCATTCTTTAACTGTTACTTTGCATCCTGAGACCAGGGCTGAGGGCCATGTCTTCGCCACAGCTGGAATCCCTGTGCCAGGCCCAGGGCCTGCGACTGAGTGGGCACTCCAGAAATACATGACCAGTGAAGGAAGAATGGATGGCATGAATGAATTCACCCAACAAATATTTATTGAGAGACAGCAATGTGCCAGGCACTCTTCTAGGTGTTGCAGAGAACAAAACAGACCCCCTTCAGGGAGGCAGACAATCTTAATATTATACCATATATAAATATGTATTTTATTATATAGAATAAGTATAGAAATATATTATATTAAGTTTTAATAATATATCAATTATGTATTAAATATAATATTTTACTTATATATAATAAAATGTTAGGCATTATAAGTGCTCTTTCAACTAAGATCTGATTCATTTGCATAAGAAGGAAATCCCAACATATTTGGGCAGGGATCAGCAAACTTTGCCTGTCAAGAGCCAGGCAACAAATGGTTTAGATTTTGGGGCTTCACGTGGGTGGCCCCCAGATGAAGTGGTTGAGCATCTGCCTTTAGTTCAGGTTGTGATTCCAAGGTTCTGGGATTGAGTCCTGTATTGGGCTCCCCGGGACAGCCTGCTTCTCTCTCTGCCTATGTCTCTGCCTCTTTCTGTGTGTCTCTCATAAATGGATAAATAAAAATCTTAGACTTCAGGGCTTTATCATTTCTGTGGCAACTGGCACACAAGAGCAGCCACAGACTGCAACTACTAAGCAAATGAGTGGCTTTGTGTTCCAATAAAATTTTCTTTATAAAAACAGGTGCTGTGGCCTGTGAATTGTACCTTGCTGATTCTGGTGTTAGATGCTGCAAAAAAGATAGATTTGTATTTCCTCGTAAATAAATAAATAGGAAGGCCAAAAGTGGCTACACATTGCCCAGGCCTCTTCTACTTTGCTCTGCCATCCTTGGTGTTTGGCTTCCACCTCAAAGGCACAGATGTCTACACTAATTTAAATTGCAGTGCAGCCAAACGCATGGATGTAATATTTCATTGGGCATCCACATTGTACCTTACTGTACACATGATACAGTGATGTGTGCACATCCATGTATGGAGCTGTGCACACAGAACTGCATGCCTTAACCATTCAAGTGCTCTTCAGGTGTAATCTTGACCATGTGTGATTTTTCTCCCAAGTCCCTGACTTCAGGGTCTGAGCTTTGGTCCCACCCTGCATTCTTTGCCATTTCCCCTCATGGGGGAGAGGGAGATGAGGCTGCACATCTGCCTTCTGGTCAGGAAGAAAAAGACAAGGTGAAGGGAAAGTGTGTGCCAACAACCTCTATTCTCTTTGCAGCTCAAGATCCCCTCCATCCAGTACATGGAGCGGTGCCGCTTGGTGCGCAGTGGGAATAAGCACTTGGATGAGCATTGCCTCCCGTCCACCATCCGAGGGGAGATGGAAGAGCTCATCAACATGTCCCGCAGGGACAACTTTCTGGTCTACCTGCAGTGCTGCAAGCTCTGTGAGTACTACGGCATCCCGCTGACGGAGGATGTCCTCATGAAAGGTAAGGACTTTGGGAGCTGGCCCTTGGGAAGTGGCCAACAGGGCCCAGAACCCAGGCAAGGGTGGCATCTGCCTGAGGTTTATCCTTACCCAGTTGACTTTCATGCAGCTGAACTGCTGTGGCCTGTGGTGGGGCCATTGAAGGAAGGAGAGGAGAGGAGAGGGGCAACAGCCCAGTCTGTTTTGCTGGTAGATGGGATTTCTAGAATCCTGGAGGTACATAGGCCCCACAGGCCTAGAGGTCTGGGTTCCCCAACTGAGCTTACTGGGCCTTCTAAACAGGAGTCCTGAAGTTGAGCAAAAAGGAACAATCCTGGGCAGCCCCCGTGGCCCATTGGTTTAGCGCCGCCTTCAGCCCAGGGTCTCCAGGATCAAGTCCCATGTCAGGCTTTCTGCATGGAGCCTGCTTCTCCCTCTGCCTGTGTCTCTGCCTGTGTGTGTGTGTGTGATAATAAATGAATAAAATCTTTAGAGAAAAAAAAAGGAACAATCCAATTTCAAAGAGGAATATTTGATAGAAGTGATAACCTCTGTATTGGGCTTTCCAAAACCACTTCCCTAGGTCAGGTTTATTTCTTGGTTCTTCTGCAACATGGACGTAGGAATGCACCAGGGGACAAGTTCTGCTGAGGCCCTTTGCTCTCTGCTTGGACCACAGGACCAGGCCATGAGATTTCCACACTGGTCTCACCCCATGTGTGACGGAGAATCGTGTTTCCATATATCCAAGGTGATCTGAACCCTCCTCATGTGTGGGGAGAGCATGTGCCTCTGAGAAACAGGGATGGGGGAGTGCCCCATAAGCCCCCCAGTGACCACGCAGCAATGCTGGCCCCCCAAATTTGTGAATTTATAAATGTAAAAAGCAGGTCCCTATGTGTGCTTTAAAAACACAGAAGAGAGACACCTGGCTGGCTCAGTGGGTGAGCATCTGCCTTCGGCTCAGATTGTGATCCCCGGGTCCTAGGATCAAGTCTCACAACAGGCTCCCTGCAGGGAGCCTGCTTCTTCCTCTGCCTGTGTCTCTGCTTCTGTCTCTCTGTCTCTCATGAATAAATACATAAAATATTTTTTAAAAATAAAAATAAATAAAAACACAGAAGAGCAAGCTGTACTCCAGGGCAGAGGTTTCCCAATAGGAACTTCATAGGAAGGAGCCATAGCCAAACTGGGAAGTGTGGCTTTCAGAGACAGAGGGACACAGAGGTGGTGTGACTCACCCGAGAACAACTTAACAGTCACAACTGACTATTCTCCATCTTTTTCTGGAGAGAGAGGGAAACAAGTGTACAATGTATAGAACCCAGGCTCTTGCATTAATTTGCCACTATAAAATGCCACAGACCAGGTGGTTTAAGCAACAGAAATTTGTCTTCTCACTCTCTGGGAGGCTGGAAGTCCGAGATCAAGGTGCTGACAGGTCTGGTTTCTCCTGAGGCCTCTCTCCTCGGTTCATAAGATGGCCACGGTCTTGCTGCCTCATCACATGGTTTCTCCTCTATATGATGCCCTCATGCCCCGTATGCCTCTCTTATGTCCAAATCTCCTCTTAAAAGGACACCAGTCAGATCAAATTTGAGTCCACCTTCATTTTAGCTTGATCACCTCTTGAAAGGTCCTCTCTCCAAATACAAATTTTGAGGTTTTGGGGGGACGGAGGGTTAGGGCTTCAATATATGAATTTGGCAGGGTGGGGGGCAGGAGGGGGACATACCATTCAGCCCATAACAGGTCTGCCCAACAGCGTGTGGCCCAAAGCCTTCAGAAATATAGGCAAACCAACCTAAGTGGTCATTGTCTCCTGTGCATGCTGCACCTCCTCACTTGGGCGGCCACTTGCTGCCCACCTGGGCTGGAAATCCAGCAGCTCTGGACACTAACTCTTTGCCAAATTATCCTTCCTTCCTTCTTCCTCGGGGAGCCTCACCTTCCCTGGTTGTGTCGTCTTGGCTGGTGGTGGAGCTGCAGCTAACGGCAGGCAGGCTTGCCACCCATGCTCCCTGGACTGTGCTGTGGGTTAGGTCTTGCCTCTGCATGTGCCTCCTTTGTGCCCACCAGAACACTGAACCACTACTGATTCCCTCCACTGCTAGCTTTTGCTAGTTCCTGAGTCTGTGAACCTCACCTGCTGGCAGGATCTCACACTCCTGGGAACACAGGAGCATCTGTGGGTTTTAGTTGGACAAAACTCCAGTCCATGTCTGACCACTGTCCTGGCCACTATCTATTGGCTGTCTCTATGAGAGAAGCCTGCTTTGCTGTGACTAAAGAAATTCCAACATTGGGACTTCCATTGGGACTTCCGGGTCTGTGTTCTAGACTAGAGCTTGGTGGGTTCCGAATCCAGGTGTCAAGCTCAATGGCCAGAGTTCTAAAACTTTGGGGCACTTCCCTCTCCCCAGTGAATACAGTTTTATTGTTTTTCTCTGCAATCCCCCCCAATTTTATAGATAATACTTGCTAACTTAAGTTGTTTTGAAAACATAAAGACAAAAATGCTCCCCCGCTTGAGTTGACACCGTTAATATTTAAAGATTGTCCTTTCACAGACCTTTTTCATTTCCATTTACACAAAATCATTTATGCAAATTATTATGTAAATAACATCATGCAAATTATTAACTACCTTTAAATGCAGGGTTTTTTTTAAGATTTTATTTTTTATTCATGAGAGACACAGTGAGAAAGAGGCAGAGACACAGCAGAGGGAGAAGCAAGCTCTCTGCCGGCAGGATCCAATGTGGGGGACTCAATCCCGGACCCCGGGATCATGCCCTGAGTCAAAGGCAGATGCTCAACCACTGAGCCACCCAGGCATCCCTTTAAACGTAATTTTTTTTTTAAGGTTTTATTTCTTTATTCATGAGAGACACACAGAGAGAGGCAGAGACACAGGCAGAGGGAGAAGCAGGCTCCATGCAATCTGATGTGGGACTCCATTCCAGGTCTCCAGGATCATGCCCTGGGTCGAAGGCGGCGCTAAACCTCTGAGCCACCCGGGCTGCCCTAAATGTAGTTTTAAAAAAAAAAAAAAAAAAAAACCTAGATGCCTTTTTATTTTATTTTATTTTATTTTATTTTACTTTATTTTTGTATGCCTTTTTAAAATGATGATGTTGCATATCCCCCTTCCCTCTCCCTTCTTATCTGCACAGTCACTGCCCTCCTCCCAGATATCCAGCTTTAATAACCTGGAGTGTAACTTTCCATTACTTTTTCTAGAATATGAGCTAGTCATGTGTTACCATCTTGGCACAAGCACTGCTCAGTGGCTGCAGGAAGAGAGAGCCCCTTGCCCAGTGTTTTTTGTGCTCAGATTTCTTAAAGCGGTCTCCTGAGGATATCTGTGAGACTGATTCTAGGCAAGGAGAAAACTGCCCTGAACTAGGTCTAAGTTCACCTAGTGAAGACTTGGGTGACTCTCCCCTCCTGTGTGCTCCTGACCAGCACCACCCCTATGGAGTGGGGTGTGGGCCCTTCTGCTCCATCTTAACTGCACCCAGGCCTTGAGGCCATGGCTGACTTGGTTATAAACAAACTCCCATCTCTAGTCCAGACAGCAGCATGGTGCCCCCCCCCACTTCCTGACATTGCTCGGGGGTTCTATGCCACATCACCACTGGAGGACACTGGGGGAAGAGTCTAAGGGACCCTCTAACACTCCTTTTGCAACTTCCTGTGAATCTACAATTGTTTAAACATAAAATGTTTGAAATGTATATAAGAGGGCAGCCTCGGTGGCTCAGCGGTTTAACGGCTTCAGTCCAGGGTGTGATCCTGGAGACCTGGGATCGAGTCCCACGTCGGGCTCCCTGCATGGAGCCTGCTCCTTCCTCTGCCTGTGTCTCTGCCTCTCTCTCTCTTTCTCTCTCTCTCTCTCTGTGTGTGTGTGTGTATGTGTGTGTGTCTCGTGAATAAATAAGTTAAATCTTTAAAAAATAAAATAAAATGTATATAAGAAAAATCTTTCCAAATAAAAATGTTGATTAAAAAAAAAAAGCTTCCCTCTGCCCCAAAGGCTCAGGGCAGAGAGGGGTCTTCTTGGGCTGACAGGTCACATTTCTCTTGCTGCTTACAGCCCTGCTGTACCCGGGGGACAAGATCATTTTCCAGAAGGACCAGGTGCGCCCAATCCGACAGCCGGGAGGCTACTACTCAGACTTGAAGATCTTCAGTCCAAATCTGGCCCTGCTCAAACTCCAGGGCTTCAGCGAGGCTGGGGCTAAGAAGACTGACAAGCTGAGTGTCAGACCCCCTATCTCTCCTGCCATTTGCCTTCTATCCTGCTGCTGCTTTCTCTGCTCTGGGGGTGGGATGTACCATACCGGGGTGTCGTGTTATGCCAATGCCTGTGTCCAAGCATGCCCAGAACGTCCAACCCAACTGGTCACCAAGGACTGGCCAATTTCCAGTGTCACTCCTGGCACATGTTTGAGGGGAGCAGCCTCCTTGCCTCATCCCCATACAGCTACTCTCCCAACCACATCCTACATGATCTCATGTTCTCTAGAAGAGATTAAAAAGAGGGACTCCTCTGAGAAATAGGGAGGCCCCTTCATAAATCATGGGGCAGCTGTCAGGGGCTGTACAGAAGACAGGGGTGGCAGTGGGGCCCCTTCTTTGTCCTGTCTTCTCTGGCAAGAGGTGGGCTTGCAGCCCTTAGGCAGACAAAAGAACTCTGCACTGGGGCCTGTCTCTGAGCTTCAGACCAACCTGAGTCCTCTCTAAGGAAATGTCCTTCTTTGGAAGGAGGTGACCCATGGGCAGGTTATGAGGCAGCATCTATTGGTGACTGCAGATTGGAGAATGAGCAGCATCCTCCCCAAGGAGGGATGGGGCTAATGTGGGATGAGGAGGGGCCAGCTGATCACAGCAGGGAGGGGACAAGGAACTTGCCACATTCTGGAACACTGCCAGTTGCCCACTGGGGCAGTGTGGCCAGAACAACTGGGATAGGATGCAGCAGAGCCAAACAGAAATCAGACAGGCTGCAGGTTAAATAGACAAGATGCTTTTACTGTTTGAGCCTCAGCTCTTCTTCTGTTAAATGAGCACACCGGCGTCTACCACACACAGTGAGGATTAGATGAGAAATGTATATAACTTCCTAGCACAGTGTGTGGCTGCTAGCCCTTGGGAGCAATGATGGTTGTTGCTTTACCCTGCCCCATCAGGATGCTCTTGACTGAAGGACAGGCCTGCAGATGGGCCTGGCCACAACCCTGGTTAGGAAGAGCCAAGCATGAGCCAGGCAGGCGGTGGTCTAGAGGGTCCTTTCTGACCACTTAGTGACTGCCTTTCAGTCCCTGGGTGGCTTACACCCATTTCTGCTCCATGAAGCTAGGGAATGGGTGGGAACCTGAGAAAGGGACTCTCATCCATGCTTAGGTAGACCACAGCCCTAAAGGATAAAGGCCACAGCTCCCAAGGGTAGGGATGGAGATTTGTTTTATCTTGCTACGTGAACTGTGTTATCAAAGGTTCTGAGGCCAGATGCAGGCCTGCTGGGAAAGAGTGCTGCCTGTGGTCAATTAGTGACGTCTGCCAGGCCCAAGATCTGGGGAGTTAGTTTTTACCACCCTTGTTCCAAAAGCAGGATTCAGCCCTGGCAGGGGCAGGGGGAGTCAGGGACTCCCAAACAATTCAGATTATTGAGCATTTCTCAACTACCCTAGGACATCTCTGTTCTAGGTAATAAGAAACATGAGGCTCTGAAAAGAGAAGTGACCTGCCCGGAGTCACCATCCAGCCAGCCAGGTTATGAGCTCAGTCCTGGATGACCAAGCCCACTGTGTGTCCCACTGGAACATAGAGGACAGAGTCAGGGTCCCACCTCAGGCAGAAGAAATTCTCCTTTTGGAGCCAGCTCTCTAGAAATTCTCCCAGATAGGTCCACCCCCATGTACTATCTGAGGCTTCATTAACTTGGATTTCCCCTCTCATAACAAGATACCCATCTCTCTTATCCACTAGGAAAACATTGAAGAAAATCAGGAAGATACACTTTAAGGAGTTTGAGGAGTTCACCAGGTTTGTAGCAATCATCCAACTCTGGCAGGGGATGGGTGGGAGGAGGACTAGCCTCACTTTGGAGGAGGTGCCTGGGACTCTGTGTGTTGCATGGTGCACAGGATCTAGGGCTCAATGCCCAGGAACTGAGAAGCAGGAGACTACTTAGAGTGCCAGGCAGACTCTGCTGTGGTTTGTTCCATGTTTTAACTCATTTAAATCCTCTCAGCAACCCTATAGAGCTGCTCTTAGCATACCCATTTTACAGAAGAGGAAACTGAGGTACAGAAACAATTACTTATCTCATTCAAAATCACACATCTATTAAGGGGGGGAGCAGGGATTTGAACCCAGCAATGCTGACTCCAGAGGCTATACTCTGAACATCACATTAAAATGCCTCTAGAGGGCGATCCCTGGGTGGCTCAGCAGTTTCGCACCTGCCTTCAGCCCAGGGCATGATCCTGGGGTCCTGGGATCGAGTCCTGCATTGGGCTCCCTGCGTGGAGCCTGTGTCTCCCTCTGCCTGTGTCTCTGCCTCTCTCTGTGTGTGTCTCTTATGAATAAATAAATAAATAAAATCTTTTAAAAAATAAATAAAAAATAAAATGCCGGGCAGCCCCAGTGGCGCAGCGGTTTAGCGCCACCTGCAGCCCAGGGTGTGATCCTGGAGACCCGGGATCGAGTCCCATGTCGGGCTTCCTGCTTGGAGCCTGCTTCTCCCTCTGCCTGTGTCTCTGCCTCTCTCTCGCTCTCTCTGAATAAATAAATAAATAAATAAATAAATAAATAAATAAATAAATAAATAAATAAATCTTTAAAAAATAAAATAAAATAAAATAAAATGCCTCTAGAGCAGAGATGGTGTACACTTAAGAATTTGGGTTTTAGAGGCAGCAGATTGGGAGTCAAGCCTGTGCCCTGCCACTTGCTTGCTGTGTGGCTTTGGGGAAATGACTTATCCTCTCTAGGCCTTCAGGTCCTCATTGGTAAGGTAGACAGGATAACAGAACCTACCAGGTAGAAATGAAGTGCTTAGCAGTGGGCTACACCTCCACTCTGGCCACAGCTCGTTTGCTCTGCTGGGCAGGAGTCGGGGCCCTGGCTAGTCTGGCAGGACAAACTTCTGTCTTCTTCTTTTCCAGGAAGCTGGAAGTGAAGAGGCCCAGGGGTACACAGCGAACTCACCCCAATGTCTTCTGGCCGGGTCACCTCCTGGACAAGCTGCAGCTCTACTTGCCCACTGTGGCTGTGGACCGGAGCCTGGCACTCTTCAGTTGTGTCCAACCGCAGCCCTCTGCCTACTCAGCCACCTACCACCCCCACCACTGGTGGCCCATTGGGAACATGAACTATATGACCTGTGCCTATTACGATGCCCCCAAGGTCTACTACATCAACTAGAGTGGCCCAGGTGTTGTCGAACCTGGACATCCTGGGGCTGTGGCCAGTGCCGCTAGCAGCCCAGAGCCACACGCGCAGGGAGTATGGAGAGCCAGATAAAAGAAATCATTTCAGTGGAATGGCCTGGAGCCAGCTCTCTAGAGCCAAAGTATCCAGTGTCTCAGAGGGCAGATGTACCCGGGAAAGCTATGCAGTTTCTGAGTATTTCCCTGTCTTGACCTCTGCCCTTTTGAAATAAACTGAGTTGGAGTTTTTTTCATGTCACCTGTGATACAGCTGATGTGATTTCTTGCTCAGGAGCTGTGGCCAGAGGAATGTTTGGAAAATTGGGGTCCTGAGCCCAGGGGACTAAAGCAGGCATATTCCCTGGAATGTGGGCAGAGATGCTTGCATGGCACCTCCAGCTTTTTGTCCTGGGATCTCAGTGCTCATGGGAAAGCAGCTGGCAGTGTGTGTACCCTGTGCCCTTCTCCGTGAAATACCGGGGCAACAGGTCTCTCATCCCCTAACGGTGGAGCCGTTTTGGTTACTGCTTCTCAAATCTCATGGGTCTTTCACAGTTGGAGACATGCTCTGTGGTTCATAAGCTCTTTTTTGGGGGGGGGAGGGGTTAAAGATTTTATTTATTTATTCATGAGAGACACACAGAGAGAGGGGCAGAGACACAGGCAGAGGGAGAAGCAGGGAGCCTGTTGCAAGACTCAATCCCAGGATCCCAGGTTCGAGACCTGGGTCGAAGGCAGACCCTCAACCGCTGAGCCACCCAGATGCCCTGGTTCATGAGCTCTTTGCGTGATTAGCCCACCTGACCCCATCAAGACCTTTTCCTTCACGACTCACATAACGTGGGCTGCTGTAAGCTGAGTGATTCCCTGCTCTGCATCCCATCTGACTCCCGGAGCCTGCAGGATAAGCAGGATTCATGAGGTGTGGTATAGTCACATGCACAAATGGGTTCTAGACTCAACCTTATTGCTGACCAGCTGTGTGATCTCAGACAAGACATTTCACATGTCCACTCCTCTGGGTCTCCTTAAACTCCCCTACCCTTTACAGTCAAAATCTCACGAAGGAGTTGTCAACACTTTCTTCCCTTCTCACTTCTCATCCGGGGAACAACACAATCCAGTGTAGTTTCTGTCCCCATCTGTCCCCCGGAACTCTCAAGATCAGTGATGACATCTGTACTGTGTTCAAATTGTGGAATCAAGGCGCATTTTTTTATCCTGAAATGTGATTTATTACAATAATCTTAAAAACGAAATCTAAGTAAGACAATACCAAGAACAATTTAAAACTAAGCAGGTGAAAAAACTAAACTAAACTAAGCAGGTGAGCCTAATGCTTAGAAGTGTGGATTTTTGGATCGAAGCCCCAAACTTCACTTTCTACAGCTGTAAAATGGGGAAAATAATAGAAGTACAACCTCACAGAACTGTGGGAACGACAGTAAAACCCATGCAATGACAGCTCTTGGGGGTCTCACTGCTATTTCACTTTATACCCTCACGTGAAGGAATTAGGAAGTCTCGGTTTCGTTCCCTCCTGGCCACTAGGAGGCGCACTCAGTAGCAGGAGAAACGCGGGCGGAAATAATCCAAAAACTGGATTATTCTCGGGAGGAATGGCTTCAGTTTCTGGCGGAAGTGTACGCCCTCCCCCAGGTCTTAGAGGCTCAGAAAAAGTTCCAAATTTTCTACGTAGTCCCAACAGCAGGTCTGACAAACTTACAGCACTACTCCCAAATATTAATATCTAGGAAAACAAAGTTATCTCTGGACTTTTTTCCGTATTATTTCCCTGAAGTGTCCTTCTTTTCTTTGAGGGACCAAGAACCGGAAGCGCTCTTTTTTTCCCCTGCCAGGACCCAGGGGTTAAGTCCCATCAGGCCTCGCGCGCCACCTTCCCCTCTCTTCCTCGGCGCCGCCTGCGGAGGTGGCAGCCATCGATCGCCGGGTGAGTTTTAATCTCTAGCCATCCGCGTGTGTGCGGTGTTCGTCGGGTCCTGTCGCTTCCTGGTAGGGGGCCTGCCCTTCCGAGCTGCCGTCCTGGTGGGCTTTGTCCTTGTCGGTGGGCTGGAGTGCGTTCAGGAGCAGAGCGAAGCGGCCCAGCCGTTGGTGGAGGTTGGCCTCCCAGGGCCCCTTGCGGTCCCCCGGAGCCGCCTGAGGTCTCTGAGGGTCGCGGACAGCTTGTTTGAGCCCTGGGAGTGAAGGTCGTTCGTGTCTGGCCTAGGGGAGCGACCCGAGGGCTGCGGTGTGTGCCTGGGATACTCGAGTCCCCTTGGCCCGGGATGGGTGCCGCGTGCGTTTTCTCTTTCCGCTGGCCCACGCTCCCGCGCAGTTCTGTGGTCTTGGGGCTGCCGCTGCGGCCAGACCGCCACACGGGACAGCCGGCACCGCGAGCTGAGAGCCGGTTGGTTCGCGTTGACAGGACTGCGAGTAGCGGGTCGCGTCTCTGGGAATGTAAAGCCGCGTGGTCGTCCTCGAGGAGGTAATGCTGCGGGCCCGGGTGCGCTCGTTTACCGGCCACAGCGTTCGCTGAGCGCTTCACGGGGGCCAGACGAGGCCACAGAGGCGGTGACGGGAACGCGGTGCGCTGCCGCTTTGAGGAAGGTTTTTATTTTTTTTTATAAGATTTTACTTATTAATGAGAGAGAGAGAGAGAGGCAGAGACACAGGCAGAGGGAGAAGCAGGCTCCATGCAGGGAGCCCGACATGGGATTCGATCCTGGGTCTCCAGGATCAGGCCCTGGGCCGAAGGCGGCGCTAAACCGCTGAGCCACCCGGGCTGCCCATTGAGGAAGGTTTTTAATCGATCCTCGGATGATGTCCAGGTAAGACGGAGAGTTCGGGGGCCTAGGAACATCTTACAAGGGCATCGTGGTTTTGTAGGTCCCCTGAAGGGGAAACCCAGGTTCCTCTACACAGCTCGGGCGCCCCGTGTGCCGTATAGTTCCCATTTTACGGGGAGGGAACAAAGACTCCAGTGCGTGTACGTTGCCCAAGCTCTGCGTAACTGATGGGAACTGGACCGTGCGCGGTTGGTGGAAGTGGGATTTGCCCTGTGGCCGCCGAGAGCGTGTGAAGGACAGTCCGTCTCAGATCAGCTGTTAGCAGGCGTCCTTGACTTCAGCGGGGGCGGTGACCCCTGACCTCCCAGGATCGCGTCTGGAGAGTGGTTGGTATTCTGCCAGCTTCGGAGGCGGGAGGGACAGCAAGCCTGGCAGAGGTACCCATTCCATTCCCAGTTGGCTCAGTAGCTGGTGATTGGAAGACACTCTGCAACAGCGTTCAGGCCTTGAGCAGGAAAACCTCCTTCCGGGACTGCTTGACACCGTCTCTGCCTCTCTCTTGAAGGCATCATGGCTGCCCTCAGACCTCTGGTGAAGCCCAAGATCGTTAAAAAGAGGACCAAGAAGTTCATCCGGCACCAGTCAGACCGATATGTCAAAATTAAGGTGCATACATACCGTAACGGGATGGAAGGGTTCGTTGGGGGGTTGTTCCTAAATGGGCTGTCGGATTTCTGGCATCACCTGGTCAGATCGCCTTTGGCAGGTGGACCAGTCTGGTTGGTGGTAGAGCTCTCTAGAAGCCAGCTCTCCAAGTATTTCTTACTGGCACTCGGTCACTTGATTAAATGATTAGGGGCACTTGGCTATTTTCAGGCATCTATCTAGTGGCTTGAATCATTTTAGGTGGCCTTAGGCTGTTAGAAGTAGATCCTTATTTTATGATGAGAAAAGTTAACATCTTAAGTGCAGTGATGAAACCTATGCCATTCAGTTTTGTTTTGTTTTAAAATTTTCTTTATTCATGAGAGACAGAGGGAGGAGAAAATAGGCTCCATGCAGGGAGGGCAATGCAGGGACTCCTCAGGGACCACACCCTGAGCCAAAGGCAGCCGCTCAACCACTGAGCCACCCTGGCGTCCCTGCCACTCAGTCTTAACAGTGCACAGTTCCTTTTTTGTTCTGTCAGTTTGTAGTCCTCTATTCCTCTGTTTATTAGGAGTGTGGATGTGAGTCTTATTCCTGGTAGTCAAAGGCAGGAGCCCTATTTTTTTTCCACCAAGAAAAATCGAAAGATGTAGTGAAATACTTAAGGACAGCTACTATTTGGTATATTTACTTTTCATTGAGTCCCCTTTTCCTTTCAAAAGGAAGAGTTGTTAGCAAAGAAACTAACCCTCCCATGTTTTATTTCAGCGCAACTGGCGGAAACCCAGAGGCATTGACAATAGGGTACGCAGAAGATTCAAGGGCCAAATCTTGATGCCCAACATTGGTTACGGGAGCAACAAGAAAACAAAGCACATGCTGCCCAGTGGCTTCCGGAAGTTCCTAGTCCACAACGTCAAGGAGCTTGAAGTGCTGCTGATGTGCAACAAGTGAGTTGGGTCCCACCTCTGGGTTTAGGAATCAGTCTGCATCTGAGCATTTTTAGTAGGGACTCTAGACTTCATAGAATACATTTGGAAGAGGTGTGTTTTTCTCTCAGGAGCTTAAAGAATGGTTGTTGGGGCTTTGAAATGTTTCCTTTGCTGGAGCAGGGTAAGGGAACTTGTCCTGAAAAGTGTAGGCACCCAAGACCTGCAAAGAGAAGGACTTTGCCTAACAATAAAAACACCAAGGTATTTACTGTCCGTTTTTTTGCAGAATGTTGCTTTATGTGGAAGTGGGGGTGGGGGGAGTAACAGACCTAAGGGGCACCTTTATGCTGTGGCCACGAATGTCTTCCTTCGGAAAGCTATAGGAATATAGACGAGTTGCCTGATTCAGAGCTCTGTGATCTGAGGTGGAGGGAAGGAGGAAGACTTGGCAGAGGGTGACTTGCACAAAGTTGTAGAGATGCAAGAGTGTATGGAGGGTTCACATCATTACTTCCAGGTATTTTGAGAAAGACAATTATAAGCTCTGTGTGAGAGAAACTTGTAGTCTACTTGGGTCAAAACTATGTCAATGGGATGAGAAAACATTTAACACAGAAAGTGATTTAGTTGCTTTGAGTCTGGGTTAGAGGGAATGGTGTTTTTTGGTTAAGCAGAGGACAATTTGCTTTGCTTTCTATTAAACAAACTGAAGACTTGTGTTTTCCTAATTAGGACTTGGAAAGGGTGACTAATTGTAGCATCTCTGTGTGTGCTTACAAAGATCTTTTATCTATAGCAGTTGTAGACACAAGTAATAGAAATAAACGAAGCCATTATTCTCTCTTTGGTTGAGTTCTCTAGGTTGGGAATTTAACTGGATGTTAAAATACTGGAAAATTTCCTTAGGAAATCCTTGGGTGAGCATAGGAATTAGGGGTGGCTACCTGTTAGGTGGATCAGAATTGTGACAGAAAGCTGCAGTCCCCGTTGGGTAGCAGAAATGCTGCTGTGCAGATGTTGCTGGTTGCCAAAAAGATACTGGCTTGGCAGTTTGTGTCAGGAGCCATAGAAATATTTGGAATCTGTGACCTTTAATCCACAAGTTCATTTCTGGATATTTATCCCTAAATGAAAAGCAGGGAAACTTTGTGAAACTGATAATTGCAGCAGTAACTGAATTGTTGAAATATAATTTGTGAATGGTGGGATTGTGAGCACTGGGTGAATGTTACATGTACATTTCAAATTGATTGTTATGTGTGGAAAATGCCCAGGTAGAAACTAAAGTATTTAAGATGATATGTATAGTGACTGGAGTGTTAAATACACATGTGGACAAGGACCTGAGGAGTTTTTGAGAAAAAGATTTCGATGTTAGAAAAAAGATTATATCAGACTATTTCAAAGTATAGCTACTTTGAGCTTGAGTGGACTCTTATGGAAGACAAAAAAGTTCTTTGAGTTGCTTGTCTCACCTGTTAGGCTATTTTGCTAGAGTTGTTTTTGTTTTTGTTTTGTTTTGTTTTGTGACTTTATTTATTCATGAGAGACACAGGCAGAGGGAGAAGCAGGCTTCATGCAGGGAGCCTCATGTGGGACATGATCCCGGGTCTCCAGGATCGCCTGGGCTGAAGGCGGTGCTAAACCGCTGAGCCACCCAGGCTGCCCATTTTGCTAGAGTTCTTAAAAAGAACTATGTATGTCCATTGCCTAATTTAGTCATTCCTTACAGCTTGCTTTCTCTCTTTGCTGAAATTCCGCCAGGGGTAGAGAGTGCCCTATTTTATTTTAAGATTTTATTTGGGGGGCTCCTGGTTGGCTTAGTAGAGCAAGTGACTTTTGATCTCAAGAGTCGTGAGTTCAAGCCCCACGTTGGACATGGAGCTTACTTAAAAAGTAAATAAATACAAATTTTGTTTTTAATTTTTACATAATCTCTGTGCCCAGCATGGAGCTTGAGCTTGGGACCCTGAGCTAGGAGTCGCATGCTCTACTGAGTGAGCCAGCTAGGTGCCCCTAGATCATTTTCTTAATCTTTGATGGTGTCAAAAATTACTTCTTCCCTGAAATGTGCTCATTAGGCCAATTTGTCACCAAATCACACCAAACTGCCTGGTGCAGCTATGAGGAATGAGGTTAGAACAGTATATGGCACCCAGATACTCAGGAAATAAGTATACCTACTTGCTGGATGACTTCAGTCAATCTTCTCAATTGAATTTTGTCTGCGGCAGACAAGTAAAATGTTAATGTCTGGGGCAGGAAACCCTTGGTTTAATCAGACTGTTGGATTCCGCTCTTGGTTACTTAGAGAGTTTAAAAACTTCATGGGCAAGTCCAAGCTCCCTGAGACTGTGTTGGGCCGGTTGACTGAAAGGATTGGGAGAGAACCTTTGAACTTGAAATCTGGGACTGAGCCATCCTAGCCGTGTCCCATTTCTAAATACCGAACTTGGGAATTCACTTCCACCTGTAAGGGTCATGGTTTGTAAGATGGAGGCAATACCTGGATTACAAGGCTGCTGTTACGATTAAATGAGGGGACCATGAGAGTGCTTCTGTCACTGCCAGGGAAAACTTTAAGAGCCTTACTGCTGGTACCAAGGAATAGGAATTTGGGATTTGGGACTGTGTGGGTCTTGTATTAGCTTTGCCAGCGCCCTTGTTTCTCTGCTGTGGCTCTAGAGGTGATGTGACCAAAAACCACTGCCCTCCCAGGGAAACTCCGTGTGTGCTCACATCTGGCTTGCTCCTTACTAACTGCTTCTCTTCCAGATCTTATTGTGCAGAGATTGCTCACAATGTATCCTCCAAGAACCGCAAAGCCATTGTGGAAAGAGCAGCCCAGCTGGCCATCAGAGTCACCAATCCCAATGCCAGGCTGCGTAGCGAAGAAAATGAATAAACAGCTTATGTGTGTGTCATATTTGTGTTAATAAAACCATAAAACTACCATCTGGCATTTCCCTCTTTGAATTTACTTTTTAGTTTCTTAACTGACAATTCCTGGAAATTATTCTTTTCCCAGTTAATACTCTGAGGAATATTCCAGTTGGAGGGGATTTATAAAGGATACTTGATTCTTCATAGGGCACAGGCATATGGCTCCCAGAGCAACCTTGTCAGCACCTAAAGAGTTTTCTGAAGGTGTAGGATCCTTAACATGATCGTTGGGCCTCTATCAGTATTCAGGATTTAACAATCAAACTGCCTTTTCAACTATAGCCCTAAACCTGAGGCCACAATAGCTAGAATTTAACTGTGAATTACAGGCATCTCTAGAGACACCGAGGTTTGGTTTCAGACTACTGATAAAGCAAGTCAAACATTTAAACATACAAAAGTTAACGTTTACACACTGTGCAGTAGCATACACAATGCATCCCTTTAAAAATAAGTTTATTGCAGGGCAGCCCCGGTGGCCCAGCGGTTTAGTGCCGCCTGCAGCCCAGGGTGTGATCCTGGAGACCTGGGATCGAGTCCCACATTGGGCTCCCTGCATGGAGCCTGCTTCTCCCTCTGCCAGTGTCTCTGCCTCTCTCTCTCTGAATAAATAAATAAATAAATCTTTAAAAAAAATAAGTTTATTGCAAAAAAATGCTAAACATCTTTCTGTGAGTTGTAATCTTGGCTGGTGGAAAATCTTGCCTCTATATTGATGGCTGCTGACTGATCAGGGTGGTGGTTGCTGAAGGCTGGGATGGCTGTGGTGATGTCTTAAAATTAAGACCATAAAGTTTACTGCATTGACTGAGTCAAGAAAGATTACTCTGTGGCATGCAATACTGTTAGACAATACTACCCAGAGAACTTTCAAAATAGGGAGTCCATCCCCTCAGACCCTGCCCCTGCTTTATTAAGTTGATGTAATATTCTTCAGTTAAACAGTCTTTACCAGCATCTTCACCAGTAGATTCCATCTCAAACTTGTTCATAAGAACTCCATTTAAAGTTTTCTCATGAGATTGCAGCAGTTCACTTAGATCTTCAGGCACTAATAGTAACATCAAAGATCACAGATCACCATAACAAGTATAATGAAAATAAAATATTCAGAGAATTAACAAAACAAGAGGAAGTAAGCAAATGGTGTTGGTAGACTTGGCTCCACACAGTTGCCACAAACCTTCCATTTGTAAAAAAAAAAAAAAAAGGCACTATTTGAAAAGCACAATAAAGCGAGGCGTGTCTGTATGAGGTTATAATACTCTTTCCAAGAACTGGTAGTGAATGGCACTATGGTCAGGGGATATGGCATGTGGTACTCTAGAACAAGACCATTGCTTAAAGGGTATTTGTTTTTCCCTATCAACCTGGGTGACAAATACTACCCTGGTTATAATTTTCTTGGCATGCTAGCCATGAGTGGATTTAAGTCCCCTAAATTGGGTAGGTAAATTACAGGTTGCCTGCCTCCAGTTCAAAACATAGTCAGAAGCCTTTAAATTCCATGATTCCTTTAACTTGAGAAATATACGGACAGTGGTCTACTGAGTAGAGGAAGTGTGCAGAGAAAAAGTAACACTGCATGATCTCTCCTTTATTAACCTGGGATAGCACAGAAAACTCTTTAGCCTATCATTTAATATTTGTGTCTTCAATTATAAAAACCAGAAATAATATGTTCAAAACCTTCCTCAGAAAGACAAACCAACCGGTTACACCTAAGCAGGTGACATGAAAGGCGCTCTATACTTTCTGCTTATTTCCCAGTTGGCTACATAAGAGCTTTGAAATTAAAAACCACCCACATTGGATCTAATTGCTTATCCTGACCACCCCCTACAAAAGGCCAAATTTCTGATTTGTTACTCCCAATTAGAGGTTAAAGCATTTTGAATTCTAAAATGTGAACAGCTCAGAGAAGCTTAAGTTCTAAAATGCCCAGCCAAAGCACTAATGTTTGGCCTACTGGCGAGTGAAGTGAAAGTGGGAGAACTGAGTGACAAATATGGGACAAGTGGGAAGGAAGGCCAGCCAGCTGCCTCCTAAACTTTTGCAGCTGTGAGCACAAGAGGATTTCTAAACACGACTTAGTCCTTTGTGAGGCAGGGACCCCCTCAGTACAGACAGCCCAGTGTGAGGTCACACATCCATGTTTGTGCGGAAGGGCGTGGAAGATGTCCATGCCCTGTTTCTTTGAACGACCGTCCTGAGTTAAAGGGCCCAACTGTTGGCAGCCTTGCAGCTCCTGCTGGGGGCCTCGAGCTGGGGTCCCTGGAGAAGGCACTGTAAGCCCTGACCAGGAGCAGGAGGGCCCCCAGCGAGATGAGGAAAGAGCAAAAGCCTCAGGGGGCCTGGGGGAGCGGTGAGGCCTCAGGAGTGGGTCGGCCCTCATTCTCTTGAGGAAGGGCCCCCCTCCACCCCGGGGTGGCCGGGGGAGGACTAGCTGAGATCCATCGAGTCTGTGCTGGGGGCCGAAGCAGAATCCTTCTGGATGCTTTCAAAGAGAGCAGCAAGTTCGGGGTTGGATCGGATTTGAGAAGAGAAGTCAGCCATGATGGGGCTTTTCCCTACTTCTGGGATGGTCAGCAGGGCAGCCACTGCCCTCATCGCGGAGCGTTTCAGCTCGTCTTGCTTCTCAAATTCCTGCTTCACGGAACCGGCTTTGACCTAAGGTGGGAAACGAGCCATGCTTTATTGAGCCTGGCCTTGTGCCCCAGCCACCTCACTGGTTCCCGGATTCCTCTCAGCCACCTGTAATCCCTCCCAGTTTAAATCACAGCAGGGTCCCCTGCTTGCAGCCTCCAAACTGACGCATCTTTTGCGCTTTCACCCTTTTGTACTTTCACCCCATGGATTTCTCCAGAGAGGGATTCTTTGTCATTTGAACCAACTTCAAGGTCACAGGGGGCCTCTGACCAGCCAATCTAAGCTGCTCACCATTCAAAATAACTGGATGGTGACAGATGCTGGAAAGTGTTAATTATCTCCTTCCCCTGACAGGAGGATTCAGCCTATCTTTGCTTAAAACAGGTTCTTGGTACCATATGACTGAACTCAATGAATGGGTCACCATGACAGTCACCCAGCTGGCCTCATCCTCACCCCTGACTCCGGTGCCCACCGTGCTAGCTCTTCTGCACAGGCAACTGCATGGAAACACCCCCCAAACTGCCTTGCTTTCCTTGTTTCTTCATCCCCCACCCTTTGCTACTTAGAGAATCTCAGAATTCCCCCACTGCTTATGGAATAATATCCAAATTCCTCTCAAGGCCCCTGGCTGAGCCCAGACACAGACTCCTCCCCTTGAAGGGTCCAGTGTAGAGCTTAAGAGCTTGCCATCTGGATTAGACAGTATTGGGTTCAAATAGCTCTGCCCTGTAAGAGCTGTGACTTCAGGTAGTCACTGTGAGCTGCACTTCCCTTTCTAGGGTAAGAGCCTCTGTCCCACAGAGTTGCTCTGAGGGTTAAATCACTTAACACAGGTCCAGGCGCCCTGCTCCGAAACCCTCAGGGCTAGGTGTGCTTTTGGAATTGGGCATTTTGGGGAGTTTCAGAAAGGTGACTGTGCAGACAACATACTACAATATCCTGTAATCAAATACATTAATATTTCCCCTACTAAATGAAAAATGAAAGAATATTATGAATGTTGCAATGAGAGAAATAAAAGTCATAAATAGCCTCAGGTCAGTTCAAGTCACGTTTTGTGGCCAAACAAGTTATTATACAAAGCTTTGGTTTGGGCCTCCTGGGTGGTGGCTCAGTCAGTTAAGTGTCTGCCTTTGGCTCAGGTCATGATCCTGGGGTTCTGGGTTCGAGCCCCACATTGGGCTCCCTGCTCAGCGGGGAGTCTGCTTCCCCCTCTTCCTCTGCTATGTGTGTGGCCCCCCCACCTCTCTCTCTGGGGGAGGGGGGAGCTTTTGATTTCCAGAGCTTTGTAGGTTTCAGTGGATGAGGGATTGTGAGCACAGATGCAGCAAGTTCTCATCACAGAACCGGACAAACAGCATCCTCTGTGCAGCCGGACTGAGTGGCCTTTGTGTGGGCCTCAGATCAAATCTCCTCTTGCCATCTCAACTGAGTGAAGGGCTGTCCTGATGCTGCAACACCAATCTGCAGTCCTTCCCTGTGAACTGTGATTTTTCTCCATGCTGAATGGCTCAAAAGAAGCCTAGAAATGATCTGCCCACTGAAACTGTCAAGACTGCAATGGCCCCGCACAACCACTGCTTCCTTTGACTTCATACCAGGCATATGTTACAAACTGAAACTTCCAAGATAAGTTTCTATCTATTAAGAAATTCCCAATCTTGGGACATCAGTGGTTGAGCATCTGCCTTCGGCTCAGGTCATGATCCTGGGGTCCTGGGATCAAGTCTCACATTGGGCTCCCCACAGGGAGCCTGCTTCTCCCTCTGCCTTTATCTCTGCCTCCCTCTCTGTGTCTCTCATGAATAAATAAATGAAATCTTAAAAAAAAAAAAAAAAGAAATTTCCAATCTTACCTGTTTTATCCACAGAAGATTTCATTTTATTGGAAAAGGTTTTGTTACTTGAAAATCACTGTTCTATGGATATCTGTCCTCTTTAATGTCCAATCTGGAATACTCTGCCCTCTTTTTGGTTAATTTCTACCCTTTCAAAACCCAAGTTAGTTCTTTCAGTCAATAGGTAATTACTGGATACATACTGGGTGTGCCAGGCTCTGTTCCCAACACCAGCCCCCTAGGCCTTCCACTCCAGATCCCTCCCCTGGATCATTGAGGCACTCCAGCCTAGTAGCAACCCTGCCCTATATCAATCAACCAATCAATGGGTTTTAGCTTTCCAAGAGTCTGATTCAGCTTCCCAATTAGGATGTGGGAATAGGGAACCCACCACATTCAATGCTGTATTCCTGCTACCATGCAACAAGGCCCGGCAGCCAGGAAATGTTTAATGAATGCAAGAAAGAGCTGAGTTTGAATCCCAGTTCTGCAATTTACTAGCTGGGTAGCCTAGGTCAATAACTTTACCTCTCTGTTCCCCTGTGTATACAGTGGTGACAATAAGAAATACTTTACAGGATAATGACAACGAAGCACTTCATATGTCACCTACAAATGGTAACTGTAAACAATCTACAGGTGTGCCCAGGGCTAGGTGGGGTGGGGGTGGGGAGGTACCTTGGCGGTGCAGGTGGCTCTGAGTGGCTCAATGAGCCGGTCCACTCTCTGCAGAACAGGTGCAGGACACAGGGTAGCCAGTCGGGCTAGCATGATGAAGGTCAGCATCTGCCCAGGAGGAAGGAGGCAGAGTTCACAGTCAAATGGCCCAGAACCAAAAGGAACAGAGCCCAAGGAAGATCAGAGGCTCTGGTAGCAATGCCTAGAGCTCAGGTCCAAACGCTAGCACTAATGCCCACCAGGGCCCTGCTAGACTCTCTCCTGCTCTGGGCCTCAGTTTCCTTATCCATAAACTGAATGACAAGAGCTGCCAGGCCAACTACCCTTGGCTGACCTGAGGAGGATCAGATCAGATCAGAAGAGGCACCAGGGAAGGTGCGATTCTCCAGCTCAGATGCTCACAGGGCCAGGCAGGTATGTCCATGAGTGAAGAGGGCCAGAGGGTAACTGGGCAGGAGTAAGGAGTCCACGCTCCAGACAGCAGCTGTCAGCTCCAGCCAACTGTGGCTGTGGGAACGTGGCCCAGGGCTGACGGCCTGTGTGCTAAAGTGACTCTGATTTTCATGTAAGATCTCTCAACTTTTAAATGTAGGCACCCAGGTTAAAAAAAAAAAACAAAAAAAACAAAAAAAAAAAAAAAAAAACACAAGCTTCTGTGTGAGCCAGCTAAACACATCTATCTACAGGCCTGACTGCGGCCTACAGAATAATGGAGGCCTCTCTTGAAAATGTTAAGTTCCTACAAACAATACACAGCATAAAGGAGGGTTGTCTGGATTCTGCACGCCCTACCCACCTTCACCCGCTGTCCACAACCCACGGTAAAGGAGGGGGGCTGGGGCCAGAGTAGAAGAGAGCACAGCATCACACAGCACATGCCAGGACCCAGGGCTCCTCCACCCACCGACTGGTGCCCTTGAACTAGGCAGTTCTCTGGTCTCTCCCCTGAAAAGTGGGCATGATAAACCCACTGTCCAAGGACAGGATGCAGACTCAACGAGATAACTCTGGGGATGGGGTGCCTGGGTGGCTCAGTGGTCAGTGTCTGCCTTTGGCTCAGGTCGTGATCCCAGGGTCCTGAGATAGGGTCCCACATCAGGCTCCCTGCATGGAGCCTGCTTCTCCCTCTGCCTGTATCTCTGCCTCTCTCTGTGTGTCTCTCATGAATAAATGATAAAATCTTAAAAAAAAAAATAACTCTGGGGTCTCAAAAAATGTCATACCCACTCTCTTCAACACCAAGAGGAGCCCAGACATTGGGGTCAAAATATTACACTGATGCCCAGGCCCTGTCCTGTCCTGTGCTCCAGAAGGGCAGGCAAGAGGGCCATGTGGCCAGAACGTGTGAGAACAGAAAAGCATGGGAAAAATGCCTGTAAAAACAACTGGCTTTTATCAACGGACAGTGGGTCCTGGCCGTCTCTCACATTAGTGCCACAGGACCTGGCTCACTCTTCTTCGTGCAGCTAGCAATCCATGACCAGAGGTACCCTGTTTACTGAGTCACTTCTGATGGGTGGAGATTCAGGAAAATGCCAGCTGTCCGCAACTCCCACAGAGCTGCGAAGAACAATCTTGAACATAAAATTTCAGAGTGGGTTTAGGAGTGAGTTCAGAGGTTCTATTCATGGATCTGGAACTGCCAGATCAAAAGTGTGTCTGAGAATTCTAAAAGTTTCTAGTTACTGCTAAACCATCCTCCCAAGAGCTCACCCAGTGTAAACTCCCACTAAAGGTGTTTGAGAGGTTGGCTCTCTTTCTTATTGAAAAAGAACAAAGCAGTTATTTTCATGGGGGTGCCTGGGGTGGAGAGTAGAGGACAAACAAGCAGCGGGCCCCAGTGATGGCCTATCCCCTTGGTATGGAGTAGGCATAGGTCCGGCAGGGGGCTCATCCTACCCGGATATCATAGTGGTCCTTCAGGCCATCCTCCACGTGGTTCAGGAACTCGCAGATGTCCAGCTGGCCCAGGCAACTCTCAAGCAGCGAGTACATGCACTCAAAGGCTGCCTTCCGCACGTCCAGCCCATCGTCCACTGTGTGCTTAAAGGGCCCCATCTCCACCTGCAGGATGGAAGGATGACAAGTGTTATGGATGTGACTGTAGAGTGTAAGAATACTTCCCTTTGTCCTTGCTGCACACACCACCTCTCCTGTTCAGTACTGTGTTCTGTCCCTGAATCAAGCCTCAAGCTCTCAAATCTCTTGCCTTTATTCAGCCTTGCAACACCCTCTGATGATAATGGTAGCAGGGGCGCCTGGGTGGCTTAGTCGGCTAAGCATACAACTCTTGGTTTTGGCTCAGGTCAGGATCTCAGGGTCATGAGATCAAGCTCTGTGTCAGGCTCCATACTGAGCACAGAGTCTGCTTCAGATTCTTTTTCCCTCTCCCTCTGCTCCTCCACCCACTTGCTCGCCTCCCCCTTTCCCCCTCTCACTCTCAAATAAAATCTTTTTTAAAAATAGTAACAATAATTATTATGGTCTACTGAGCAGTGATAATGTGCCAGCCACTGTGCTGAGTGCTTGACAAATGACATTTTATTCAAGCATCACAACAGCCCTAGGAAGACGGTGTTACTATTAAATCCCCTTTAACATGTGAGGAAATTAAGGCTGAGAGGTTAATTAACTTGCCCAAGAATATACAGCTAGTAAGTGGCTGAACTAGAATTAAAAACCCAGGTCTCTGAAGCTTTTAACTACCAGGCTCAGTCTTAATGGTAAACTCCTCACCTCTCAAAGCCCAGATTAAATGCTCCCTCTTTTGGGAAACTTTCCTAACCTCTCTAAACAGTCACTTCCTTCTCAGCAATGCCAGGTATTTCAGATCTTTTTATTATATCACAGGATGACAGCTGTTAAGTCACCTTTAATCTCTGCCCCTTAAATCCTTACTATACCCAGTGGGCTCTAAATCAGTTAGATAATCAGCAGACTGGGTGTCTCTATCCTTGAGGAGGCCTTGAGCTCCCTGGTAGCAGAAACCATGTCTGGTCCAGCTCTGATCCTGGCACTCTGACACAGGGCTGGCACTCAGTGAACATCTGCTGAATGCTGAGTGATAATAAGACCACCAACATTCCCTGAGTGTTGACTGTGGGCCAGGAGCAGTTCTGCACACCTGCAGGACATAACTCATTGAATTTTCTCAACAACCCCATGATGCAGACACAAATTATTTTCTTCATTTTGCCCAATTAAGAAAAACTGAGGCTCAGAGCAGATTAAGTGGTCCTAGGCCAATGTGCCCAGGTCACACAACCAGCAAGCGGAGGAAGAGGACTTGACCCAGGTCACATGACCCACATGCTTATCTGCTCGGAGTTTACCAGAATCCTTGCCACAGCCCCACCAATCAGACCCAGGGCTTCCAATCTGTCCTTCACCAGCCTCACCTCTCGGATGAGGTCCCTGCGGATCTTCGTCTCCTGGTAGAGGAGGGGCAGGATGTCATCTAGCAGGTCCCGGACCAGTGAAGGCTTGTTATGCACAGCCGAGTTGAAGAAAGCCAGAGTGGCCCGGCGCACATTCAGGTCTGGGTCCTGTAGGCTTTCCATAAACTCTCCTGGTGGAAAGATGAGGGGAGGGCGGGAGGGATGGCTCAGCCAAGACACAAACCACCTCCACCCCCAACCTCGTTTATCTGGGTAATGTGAGCCGGGTAGACCTGGCTGAATGGGGCAAACATGTTCAGAGCATCTACTTTTTTACCAGGCACAACGGGCCCTCAAAGCCCAGATAAAAATGTGAACTAGAATCTGGTCTGGGTTCAAATCCAGATCCCACCACTTCCTATGGGACCTTGGATAGCCTGAATGTCTTCACCTATAAAATGGGAGTAATTGCAGTACCCACAGCATAGGACCGTGTTTAAGATTTAAAATGCAGTAAGGTGGGCAGGACAGGTGGCTCAGTGGTTTAGCACCACCTTCAGCCCAGGGTGTGATCCTGGAGACCTGGGATTGAGTCCCACATCGGGCTCCCTGCATCCATGCTTCTCCCTCTGCCTGTGTCTGTTCCTCTCCCTCGCCCTCTCTCTCTCTGTGTCTCTCATGAATAAATAAAATATTTTTTAAAAAATAAAATGCTGTGAGACATATATATCTCTATCTCTATATAGCTAGATATATCTCTATCTCTAGATATATATGTCCATATATATCTCTATAAAGATATCTACATAAAGATATAGATCTCTATTTCTATATATAGAGAGAGAGAAGAGAAAGAGAGAGAACAATAAATAAAATATATAGAGGGCCTGGCACAGAGCAAGTATTCTGTAAATGTTAACTTGATATTATTATAGATAAAACTCCTAAAGATCAGAGAAGTTAAAAAAAAAACTTCCACATTTACACAGCACTTCTAAGTACACCTTTTTGTATAGTTTAGATTTTTTTAATAACTGTGTTAATGTTCTATATGCTCTGTAAATGAAATCAAGAATGAGGGGAATCCCTAAAAAAACACAACAACAAAACCCCTAACTGTATTTCAAGTGATCAACATAACTACCAGGTTATGAAAGAGTAAAACAACTCATCCAAGTAACTTCCAAAGAATTTTGACTAGATGTCCTCAGGCTAAAGACAAAAGCCCTATAAAGAAATACTGTGTGTGTCTGTCTAGTACATACACTCATACATATGTATACTCCCTAGTTCTGCCTGCTGAGAGGGCCTCAGAGCAACAGCACCCCAGGAGCAATGAGAACACCTACTGTCTAGATCTTGGATTCTAAGTACCATTCTCCTCTAAATGGTACTCCCCTGAGTACCATTCTCTAGGGAATCCAAGCTCCCTAGAGAAATGGCTGATTCCTGAACTAGGGCAGGAAAGGTTCAAGGTGAGTCTAGAGCATCTTACTGTGCTAAAAAAGTAAGGATATGTTCAAAGGATGATGGAAACATGTCAACAGAACGTAGGAAATACAGGAACCAGCCTGAAGGGCCCCCACTGGCCACATCTGAGACAAGCTTGAGAATCAAAATAAATGGAGACAGTAATAAATTATAATTCTTTGAATGACACAGGAATTCTTGAGTCTTGAGTCTATAATGATATGAATAAATCAGTGAATAAATAAATATATGAGAGAGAAGGAAAAGTCCCTCCAGAGAGCAGAAGGCAAACTAACAAATATGAAAGGAATACTGGAGTTGAAAGTCACCATTTGGCAATTGTCAGAAATCACTGGGACAAGAAAGAAATCACAATCGATGCTAAATGTGGGCAGAAATTCGGTGAAGAGAATATTTCAACAGACTCGAAAATATTCATTCCAAAGGAAAAAGTAATTTGAAAGACCTTGTTTGAGAGAGACATGGGGGAGGGGCAGAGGGAAAGGGAGAGTCCCAAGCAGACTCCACTCTGAGCGCAGAGCCCAATGTGGGGCTCGATCCCATGACCCCGAAATCACTGCCAGAGCTGAAACCAAGAATCAGTCACTAAACCAATTGTGCCACCCAGGTGCCCCAGGAAAAGGTAATTTTAGAGTGGAAAAACCTGGAAGTCGCTATCTTAATCAGGTGATCAGAGTTACCATCACGCACCTCCCGATAGGACAGGCAACCTCTGCCCCTTGCACTGTGCTCTGCTGGTTCCTGGATTCCTCCATTCTCTCTGAGAACACAGCCATGGGAGAGCTGGCAAGACCCGAGTTCCAGCCTATCTTAGCCTGTTTCCTCCTCTGTAAGATGTGGCCAGTCCTACACACCATGCAGCGTGCCTTGAGAATGAACCATGGTGAGGTGTATTAAAGGATCTAGCTTTGTACGTGATACACAGTGAGAGCTCAAAAACTGGTTCAAACATACAACAAGAAGAACCAAACACCCAGGCATAGGTCCCTGGGGCTGCCAGCCATGGCAACTCAGGCAAGGTGAAGGAAACCAGGACTGGCAGCAGTGTGTGCCCACTGGGTCAGGGGATGGAATGAAGTTGCTACTGACATTGCTGTGGCTTCTGGACGTGTTCTTTAATCCAGAGTGTGGCCACCTCTGCTGACACCTGGTCTCACACAACAGTGCCCAGGCAAATGGGGATCAGCACCTTCATTTTATAGCTGGGGATAAGATGGTCTGTCCATGCTCACACAGCCCGAGGAGCAGAGCCAGGCTGCCAACCCAAGACCCTCCACACTCCATTAAGCTGCCTGGAGGAGGAGGACCAGACGCCAGTGTGGTCCAGTGACAGGCCTACATCCTCAGAGCCTTGAATGTCTGCCTTTTCTAGGAAGAGCCTGGTCCTGCAGAGCCCCGCAAAAGAAGGCTCACCAGTGAAGGCTACTTGGGCTCCTCCAGACAGAAGGCTCCTCAGACAAGAGATGAGCTGGGAAACCACTCTCCCCAACCACAGTCTGCCCAGCATGGTGCCCGCTGAGGTCAATGCATGTGAGAGGCTGGTGGTCCTCCACTTCTAAGAGCCTGCATGTCCAGGGAGGACCTTCCCCTCAGTAACCAATAGGGTCTCTGGAATAACCTTAGATCTTTCAGATAAGGGTTTCTTATCCCCCATTCTACAGAGGAGAAAACTGAGGCTCAGAGATGAGAAGTAGCAGGCTAGGCTCACCTAGCTATTCAATGCCAGCACAGGGATTTGCACCTGTGTCCTGCTGCCTGTCATGGGAGTGATGTAGCCTCTCGGGTTTCCAACTCCCCTTGGCTACTGTGTAAGGGAAATCAGCCCAGACTCCAAGGCTGGGAGCGGAAACTGAATGGGGCTGGGGGCAAAGGGAAGTGAATGCTCACCGATGAAGCTCTTCAGGAGGGGGTCGATGGGATGGGGCTGGTCAGAGATGAGGAACTTGACCGCTGTGATAACCGTGCTCCGTGTGTGTGGCTGACCTGCAGGACAAGAGGCATCAGCATGGTGAGTGGCAGACCTGATCTCGGACACCCGCGGGTAGGAAGGCACCAAGGCTCTCTGCCTCCCCAGGAAACAGAACTGCACCCCTCCCCATTCAAAGCATCCATGTTTGGCGAAATCAATGCTCCCATTTCCCTTGGCAGCCTAAAATTTATCCCCAAATTCTCTCTGCTGTGGCTGACAGGAAAACTGTCGGTTCTCAGGTCACCACACTGCAGGATGCAAGCAGAGAACCAAGAACCCAAGGCAGCGATCAATCCACAGGCCAGAGAAAGACCTCTGCTCAGGCCTTAGGGTGGCATTTTATTTTTCAGATGTGTTATCTCAATTAATCTTCAGGATGGTCCTATTGATTCATTAATTAAATGGTAATAGAAATCAAAATTTTATATTTGATTATTATTAAGGACCTTCCCCTCAGCAACTGATAGGGTCTATGAAATAACCCTAGATCCTTTAGATAAAGGTTTCTCACCTCCTTGGTCTCTGTCTAGTAGAGAAATTATCAATTTTTAAATATTAATTATATCAATTATAGATATATAGATTAAATAAACATTAATATGAACAATTAATTTAATATAAACAAATTATTAATAAGAATATTATTAAGCTCTATTTTACAGATGAGGAAAGAGACCCAGAAAGGTCAAGTTCGTATCTAAGGTCATACAGCAAATCCAGAATTCAATGGCTGATTCTGAGCCCTGGCTGAGCCCTTGTCCTAAGGCCTGCATTCTCTAAGCAGGGGACAGGTGTTGCTCCAGCTAGCCAAGGGCCAAGGGGAATCCAAGAGAATTCAGAACACCCCGGAAGCTTGGTAATGGAGAATTCACTTAATTTTAGTTTTCTGCTTGCTGAGTAGAAAAGGTGAAGAAAAGAAACGGAATACATCTCCCACCATGGTGGAAGAAACAAACCAGAGTTGCTTGCTCCTCTCCTCCCCCAGCACACAACAGTGACGGGTGAAGGTTATTCCCATCATGTAGACTTTACATTCAAGACTTGGGAAGAAATTAACATTTGGGTGCCAGGGTGTGAATAAGGGAAAGTTAGTGACTTCAGATTTGCAGTTTTTTCCTCTTTCTCTCTCTATCCTGGCTGGTTCCGGGTGGCTGATGAAGACATGGACAACAGAACAGGATTAAGTGACTCTAAAATGAGAAATATGATGGGGCATCTGGCTGGCACAGTTAAGTGTCCAACTCCCGGTTTCGGCTCAGGTCATGATTTCAGGGTCATGGGATTGAGGCCCCTGTCAGGCTCCACAACCAGGGCAGAGAGAATCCTTAAGACTTTCTCCCTCCCCCTCTGCCCCTTCCCCCTCATCTCTCTAAAAGATAAATCTTTTATAAAAATTAAATAAGAAAGATGAGGCTGAGGAAAAATACAGGCAGGAAGTGAGAGGAAGACTAGAGTGAGGGCAAGGAGGCCAAGTAGGAAGTTCCACAAACTTGCTAGAAGCAGGCCATGAATTGGGCTCCAAGGCAGCTAAAAAAGAAATGTGACCAGTTAGCTGGCTCAAGTGTGCATGAGGCAGAAACAAATCAGAGCTTGGAAATGGCAGGGGGCCTCCTCCTCCCAAGACTCTGGCCTCCCAAGGTTCCTCATGAAGAGCCCTGTGAGTGTCACAGGCCATGTCCTCAATATGTTCTTCTTGTTCACACAGCGGTGCGGGCCACAGAGCCGCTGTTGTTGTTGTTTTTAAGATTATTTATTTATTCATGAGAGACACAGAGAGAGAGAGAGGCAGAGACACAGGCAGAAGGAGAAGCAGGCTCCCTGCAGGAAGCCTGATATGGAACTCGAACCCAGGACCCCAGGATCACTCCCTGAGCCAAAGGCAGATCCTCAACCTTTGAGCCACCCAGGTGCACCAGAGCTGCTTCTTTTAAACTTGGCATCTAGTAACGGCTTAACTATAATCACTAACATAGCAATGATAGCAGTTACTCAGTATTAATTACATACCATGTACTCTACCAAGCACTTTGCCCACATTCTATCAATGACTACACCCACGGACCCTATATGGGGACCAGCTGACCAGCTCAAGACCTGGAGGCCTTTCTTTCTCAGAGGCTTTCACTTGCCCCGGAGCCCCACAGTCCTACCCATCTGCTTTCTTCCTCCCTGAGCTTCGGAATACCCTGACATGCCCTTACCTGGCCACACAAAACCTGCCCCTGGTTTTTGCTGAACCTTCCCCAAACCCGAGGAGTATAGCACCCAGTCTAGTCTACACTGACATTTGCTCCTGGCTCAAACTAGCCCAAGGGAGCTGCACTCTTCAGACAGAGAACTGCTTTTATTAACTTTTGCCCAGAGCATGAGGCTGCTGTCCATAACAAAAAGTACACAAGTGGCATCACAAAAAGCTTATTTTTTGAGGGGACATTTTAAAGAGTCTGTCTCCTCCATTCCAGAGTCTCCCAGGAGGAGCCTGCAAGTCTCAGGAAACACTGTTTTTAATGGCTCCTCCGCCTTTACCTCACCCACACCGTGCATCTCAGACCCAGTTGCTTGAATTAGCTCACTCTGAGTGGGCTGCTCAAATGCAAACTGCCTACTTCCGATGTGGACTGCCTTTGCCCACACCTGTGCCCCTACCTGCAGCAAGCTGTTTCCGGAATCGGGGCAGAAGGAATGGAGGGTTCACGAGGACCAGCTTGCCGATGCACTCAGCCACCACCCCCCGGGTGCCCTCCTCGGCTCCCTCACAGCGCTGGAAGAGCAGGGCCCAGATGTCCTCAGCATAGGGCTTCAGGCTGTCGGGCTGGGCGGCCCCCAGAGCCTCCCTGAGTGAGTGCAGCAGCAGGTACTGCCGCCGGGGCTCGGCCTCGATCTGCCCCAGTAGGAAGGGCAGGAAGTCGGGCAGGTTCCCAGCACCCACGCGGCCCAGTGCATAGGACGCGGCTGCCCTCACATCCTCACTGGGGGACCCCAAGGCTTCCAGGAGCACTGCTTTCAGCTCCCGCTGGGGGCCTGGCCCGGCCACCTGGCCCACCTCAGCCAGGGACAGGAACGCCAGGACCTTGACCCCTGTGCTTGAGTGCGGTGACCTGGCATCGCAGACCAGCCGGTTTGCTGTGCCTGCCGCCTCCTGGGGACAGGCAGCCGCGAGGGCTGCCACACACCGAGCCAAAGAGTGGAACACCTGCTTATGTAAGCCTGGCCCGCCATCCGCAGCCTGGTCATAAACAGGTGCTGTGAGCATGCTGATGAGCTCCTCGTAGTCCACACAAGGGGGGCGGGTCCCCACCAGGGCCTGCAGGAAGCCTTCAGCTGCTGCCAGCACGCTTGCTGGCAACAGGGGCGAGCGCAGCAACCGCAGCAGCTCTGAGAGCACAGGGCCGCTGACCTTGGCCAAAGAGGCCGGCTGGGCATGGGTCACTGTGGCAAGGAAGTCCACAGCCAGCTGGGCCACATGCATGTCGCTCTCACTGACCAGGGCAGGCAGCTCGGCCAGCACAGCCTGCACGGCACACGGCGGGAGGCTAAGTCCCTGGCTCTGGGCCAGGGCGTCCAGGGCAGCCAGTGTGGCCAGCCGCAGGGCCCGCTGGTTCTTTCGAAGGAACGAGGCCAGAATGGGCAGTGCCTCAGCCACAATGGGCTGTAGGTCAAGCCGCAATGGGGACACGGCCACCAGCGTCAGTGCTTTGACAGCAGGCAGCCGGGTGATCTCATTCCGCAGGCGGTCCAGGAGGAGCAAGAGTGATGGCTCTAGGTCAACCCCCAGCCGGTCCCCCAGGTGGGCCATGAGGTGGCCCATGCAAGCAATGGCACGCTCCTTCACCTCCTGGTCCAGGTCAGTGGCACGGAGTCGTGCCAGGGTGGCTGCAGACATCTCTCCAACATATGGCTCAGGGTCCAGTGTCCGAGGCCTGTCCAGTGGCCACAAGGCCCGCACGAGCTCCTGGAGCACCAGCAGGGCCTCCGCCGCGATCTTGTAGAAAGGGTCAGCCACACAGGCCATCACAGGTGGCAGGAGAGTCGGCAGGTGTGAGTGGAAGGCCTCAGCTGGCTCTGTGCCCAGCAGACCCTGTAGGAAGGCCAGGGCGTCCATCCGGATAGTGGAAGAGCTGGAACGGTCCGCCAGAGAGAAGACAATGCCTGTGGGATGGGTGCAAAGGTTACAGGGCCACAGGCAGTCCCTACTAATGGGGGTGGAGTACCTGCAGGCATCTGAGCTGGACCCAGACCCCTAGGCTCCTAGGCTGCAGATTCTGAAAGGCCAGGGCTTGGCCAGGGCTGAGGGACGCAAGGTCAGGAAAGCCCTCTGAAACCAGGAAGTAGGGCCAGTACCCCAGCTTTGTTCTCACTGTTGGCAGTGGCAAGCCACCACTGAACTGGGGCACCCATGGGGCTAGAGCCCTGGGGTCTGGGGTCTGGGTTCTAGAAGAGCCCAGGCAGCAAGTACCTGGTTGCAGTCCATCCTACCTGCTACCAGCACAGGCATGTGCTCTCCCAGGCTGCCAGGGAGGACACCCGCCAGCTCAGTGAGGAGGCTGAAGCAGCCCTGGCGGGCCCTGACACTCCGATCCTTAAGCTGCCGCTGCAGGGCCTTGATCACAAGAGGCACCTGTGGGCAGTTTGAAGGCGATCAGTGACCACCCAGGAAACCTGGTTGACCCACCCGGTACTGGGGGGCTTTGCCTAGCCAGGCATATGCCCATGGAGGCCCCCCCCCGGTGTAGGAGGACCACTCCATCCCAAGCTTTCCATGACATGCTCCATAGCAGGCACCTGATTCCATACGTGGACCCTCTGCAGTAGGTACTATTCCTGGGCCCTCTTTACAGATGGGGAATAGATCAGAGATTAAGTGAGTTGCTCAAGACCACCCAAGGCAGTCTGGCTCTCACCCCTACACTCCATGAGGGGGAAGTACAGAGGCCCCTTCCCTTCTCTGGCTAGATTGTCTCCCTAGATGAGCCCATCTATTCCCCAGGGGCTGCAGATTCCAGTGAAGCCAAGATTTCCAGCCTACATCTCCAACATCAGACTCGGCTGCTAACCACCCGCTGGACCTCCCAACGTGGGCATCCAAGGACCTCCAACATGAATGTCTAGAACAGAACTTCCCTCCTCTACTATGTCAAGGAACTACAGTTTCAGGCTTTAGCCAGAACCCAGAACTCACATGACACCTTCCTCTCCCTCACCCTTCACATCCAATCCATCAGCAAGACCCAGAAGCTACCCCTCCAGTCTGACCATTCCTCTTTTCCCTACTCACAGCCCACAGCACACCTCTTCCACTTGGACAACTACAAGGGCTTCCTGCTGGCCTCCAGAAGCTATTCCTTCCCGCCCTGTTATGGTTCATTTCCCATACAGCAGCCAGAGTGAACTCCTTCAAATGGGAATGGGATCCTGTAATTCCCTTCCTGTGTGGCTTCTAGGCTCTTAGAATAAAACTGAAACTCCTTCTCAGAAGACTAGGAATGCTATTTCTGTTGTCTATCTGCCCCTAGCCTGTGTGGTCCAGGGACTGGGACTTCATCTGCCCTGCTCCTCACGGTACTTTAGCCCCCAACACAGGGCCAGGTACGGTGCTCAGTGCACACACTTCCGTGGGTGGACAGATGGTGGGGCAGTGGAAGGATAAGAAGGTGGACAGAGGGGAGTGGGCAGGTGAGAGGGTGAGTAATGAGTCAGGGAGCAAGAATGGGAGACAGGAGGAGGCATGCCTACCTGGCCACGCAGCATATGGAGGTTGCTGCCTGTTTGGGTGGGCTCCTCCATAGACTCCAGCCACCCCTTTGGAGGTCGCGTCTGCCGCAACAGCACAATGTAAGCCCCGAAGACATCAGCCTTGACATTCTCCTCACGTTCCTTGAAGCGGCGGATGAGCGCAGGCGCCAGGGTGCAGTGGAAGTCAGGCAGCAGGTCAGGCCGAGAGCCAATTAAGGCTGCTATGCACTTGGCCGCTGCCCGGCGCACCTTCCAGCTCATGTCATCATCATCACTGTATTCATCCTCACTCTCTGGGGTGGGAACAGGACACCCATGGAGCCTTGCGCACTGCAGCCTGGTCCCACCCAGGCTATATCCCAGGAAGGGGAAGTGACAAGAAATGGGGTAGGGAGGAGGGAGCCAAGCCTGTTTCAACTTTCAATGATTATTTATAGGCTATTAGGAATGTTACCTGCCATTTAATGAACACCTATGTGCTAGGGGTGATGCCAAGCACTTCAGATCCACAACCTCACTTGAGCCTCACAATCACCTTGTGAGACAAGGCTTATTTTCCTCTGTAGAGATGTGGAAATTGGGGGGAATAGCTCACCCCAAGTTACATGAGCAGGGATATAGCTGGAGTTAAACCAGGATCCTCCCTTTGCTCCAGTCCCTTCACTGTTTTGCCTGCATCAGGGACAAAGCTAATTTCCAAGTTGTCAGTGAGGATTTCAAAGAATCCATTTGGGGCACAAAACCCACCCTTTGGTCAGAACTGACTGTGTGATGTTTCACTTACTGGGATTCCAGAAGGGAGAGGTGACAGGCCTCCGTTTGGCCTCTTCCCTCCCTCCACCCCCAGCCTCTCAAGCCCTGATTGGCTTCCAAGCAAGACTATTAACAAGGGAAAGCACTTATGTGGCTTTCTACTTTCTAAGCTCCCCTGAGAGGATGGAGCTTATCAAGTCTTCATCACACCCTAGATATGGGAGTGCCTTGAGCCTCATTTTATAGATGACAAGAATAATACTCAGGGCAAGACTCTCCTGAGGACACACAGGTAGAAAACAACAGAACTGAGATTCAGGCCCACGAGGCCCACCCATATATTTGGGGAGATACACAAGGGACCAAGAGGGGGATGGTCCCAACTAGGAACACCATCAGGCACAGCCACAGAGGCTAGTGCGTTCTTTCTACCCATGTCACTCTGTAGATGACTCAGACTTCCAGAGAACTGGCATCTGGAGAAGCCATAGGGGGCCATGTAGATGGTCCAGAGCAGATGCCAGAGCAGATGTCCTCTGATGGACTGTTCTTTGTTACCTCCATCTTATGCCACCCAGGGAGGAACATCCATAGCTCCAGGATACTGACAAGAAAATGCTCATTCTCCCTGACTAGGCATTCAAGACCCCAACACACCTCTCTGATCTCATCTCCTAACATCGCATTTTTTTAATAAAGATTTTTATTTATTTATTTATTCAATCATGAAAGACATAGGGAGAGAGAGAGACAGAGACACAGGCAGAGAGAGAAGCAGGCTCCATGCAGGGAGCCTGACGTGGGACTCGATCCCGGGTCTCCAGGATCAGGCCCTGGGCCGAAGGCGGCGCTAAACTGCTGAGCCACCCGGGCTGCCCCTAACATCCCATCTTATTCTGAGTATTCCCATCAGGCTCGAAGTCCCTCTCCTCCATCAACGTCCTGCTTCTAGGGCCCAGGGTCATCAGTCTGAGTGACAGGTAGGACCATGCCCACAGAAAGGAAGCAAGCCACTGCGTCCATTCTCCATCCAGGTATCTCTTTCCCTGTCAGTACCTATCATTCCACCAGCAGAGCTTCACTCTGCTGGGTTAAAGCATCATCTCTCGGAAGCCGTTACTAAGCAGGCATAGAGATGGCAGCATAGAGGTGAGGGCCCCAAGTCCCAGTTTTGCCACTTTCTAGTTGTGTTATCTCAGGCAAATCTCTAAGTCTGGGTTTCCTTGGAAATATGGGGATAACAAGCATCTGGTTTTCTCAGGTTATTGGAAGAAGCACAAAATGAGAATGCTCAGGAAACTAGTAGATGTTCAATAAATGACAGCAATTACCATGATCTAGGCACAGGGTGGAGACCTTGGGGAACCCAGATTACAGACGGTAGGGCTGAAGACTGAGGAGGAGTTAAGATCAGGATGGGGGTGAAAAAAAAAAAAGATCAGGATGGGGGTGGGGAGTCAGTACTGAGTAGCTCAGTCAGTTAAGCATCTGTCTTTGGCTCAGGTCATGATCCCAGGGTTCTCAGATCAGGCCCCACAGCAGGCTCCCTGCTCAGCGGGGAGTCTGCTGGTCCCTCTCCCTCTGCCCTTCCCCACTGCTCATTCTCTCTCTCTCTCAAATAAATATATAAAAAAAATATTTTAAAAAAATGTTCAGGATGGGGGTGCCAGATGTGGCTCTGTCTTTGGCTGGGGGGCGGGGGGTAAGGGAGTATCCCAGGAAAGCTGCACCCTTGGGATCCCTGGGTGGCTCAGCAGTTTAGCACCTGCCTTCTGCCCAGGGCATAATCCCGAAGTCCTGGGATCGAGTCCCGCATCGGGCTCCCTGCATGGAGCCTGCTTCTCCCTCTGCCTGTGTCTCTGCCTCTTTCTCTCTGTGTGTCTCTTGTGAATAAATAATAAAATAAAAATATTAAAAAAAAAAAAAGCTGCACCCATTTCTGCCTTCCAGCCTCAATGACAAAGTTGGCCACCCACCTTGCTCACTGAATTCATTATCTTCTGTCTCCATCTGCTCCTCATCCCCGTCACTGTCATAATTATAGTTGGGGTCATGCTTCATGTACTGGAGGCAGAGGCTGGTCACATTGGGCACGTGAGGACCCATCTCCTTGGGGCACCTGTAGGGCAGAATGAGGGAGGCTCTGCTGGACAGGCAAGAGAGGGGAGTGGGCCCACTGCTAAGTCCTGAGATCTTACTGCTTTGAGGCCAGTCCCCTGGGCCCCCCATTTCCCCAACAACTTCCCAAAGAAACCATGGGCCCCTGTCTCCTGGTACTGCACTTACTTCCTCAGGAAGGCCTCAAAAGCTTGGAGGCAGGACTCCCGCAGCTCATCATCATCCAGGTTGCAGAATTCCTCCACCAGGGGCACCAGGCGGTCTAGGTGGGCCCCTGTAGGGCCAGGTATATCACTAAGGGCAGGCCAGACGCTTTCCCAGGCTCCCTCAGCCCACAGCACCCACCCTGTCCCTGCACCTGCAGCCCTGACCACTGCAAACTCAACTTGGTGGCTTCAGAATCAAGCAGATGTTAAGGTTCTAGCCTTGTCTCTGCCACTCAGGAGCTATGTGACCTCAGACACACCACCACACTTCTAGGACCTCCATATACTCTTCTCTTTCCAGCAGTGATAACAATGCCTACCAGGCAGAGACTTGGGTTAAGATTAAAGACATGATGCATATAAAGAGCTCTGCTTAAGTCTTGGCACAGGGTAGGTACAGGTAGGCAAAGGGGCACAAGGAAACTTTTGGGGGGTGATGGAAATTTTCTGTATCTTGATTGCTGTAGTAGTTTCACAGGTGTACGCAAAGGTCAAAACACACTTTACCTATGCACTTTAAACAGTGCAGTTTATTATATGTACGTTATGCTCCAATAAAAATTTGTAAAAATCCAAACCTGGCTTATAGGTTGTTATTAAAGTGTATCTGTCAAAGTAAGAGGATAGAACATACTGTATTTAAGTTTGGTGGCATGATTTATAATTATCTGTGAGCCTCAGAATAGGTAGTTCAGGTCAGAAAAAAACGTCACACTCAGAGCCCACCCACTGCCTCTCCAGCTCCGCGTCCCGCTTTCAGGTGTGTCAGGCCACGTCCCCTTACCTGGGAGGTGGCTGACGCTCACGCCCCACCCGTCTGCCCCCAGCGCCACCCACCTTGTCACCAACCCCTTGCAGAGGCGCGACACCCCCTTACCGAGCCGGTGGCCAGCCTGCCGGCCTACGCTACCCAGACACTGGATCAGAGTGCGGACGGTGGCAGGGCTGGTGGGCGCACGCGGGCCCGGCAGCCGATCCAGCAGGTGGTCCGCGAGCTCCACGAAGAGGTCGGTGCTGCAAGCGGCTGCCAGGTGGCCAAGGGCCCCGACTGCCCGCTTGCGCACGGCCAGGCGGGGACTGCTGAGCTGAGGCAGCAGGCAGTGCAGGAGGCTGGCGTGGAAGGCACCCAGAGGGGCGCCCAGCCTGGGGAGTCAGAGGGGATGTCGGATGGGGCCTACCCACCCAGCGGGCAGCCTGGGCCAGGCACCTCTCTTCTCCCCATCCTCTCCAGGGCTCCACCCAGAATTATGACAACCCAACTCTTGGTAAATCGAAAGGTCCCCTGCAACTGTGTGGAGTAATTATTTATTATTACACACAAGAAAGCAGCAGAGAGAAGGGACTTTCTCAAGACCACTCAGCCAAGAAATACAAGGCCAGGACTTGAATCCAGACTTCCAGGTTGCCAGCCTGGAACCTGGCCTGATGGTAATGGGACGTGGGGCTGATTTCCTGGGAGTCTGGGTTTTGCTAGGCACGCTCTACACACACACACACACACACACACACACACACACACACACACACACACACACGCCCTGTTAGTCTATTCCCTTCACTGAGACCACAGTGGTCTCACTGACCTCTGACCCGGTCAACCCTCTGCCTAAACTCCTTCAATGGCTCTCCCATATCCAGCCCAGCTCTCTCCTGGATTTCATCTCTTTCTTTGTTCCCCTGCTATGTCACAGGGCCTGCACTGGAAGCTCCGGTGAGATTAGACTGACCCTGGAGCCTGCCCTCCTGGAGTCTTTGGTGGACTGGGTGCCTCCCAGATACCTCATATTCAACATGCCCAAAATGAATCCATCACCTTCCTCCCCACGCCCCTGCTCCTGCCTCCAGAGTGCACCCCAGCACAGCCAATGGCCCTGTGTCTGTGTCCCCGGTTAGTAAAGCCAGACCCTGGGGTCATCTTTGAGTCTTTGCCCTTCACCCACTCCCAAGTCCTGTTGAGTCTATCTCCTAAAGAGAACCTGAGTTTCTGCCTCCAGAAGCTTCCTAAGCAGTGTCCCTGACCATTCATCCCCTCCCATCTACCATGCATACTGCAGATAGGAAGAGGAGTCTGATACACACAGAGAGGCACAAGGCATTCCTGGACCCCTGCCCTGAACCCCATCCCCACTCCTCACACATCCAGTGTAATCTTTAGCCACCCACCCTCAGTTCTTGCTCAGCCCTTGGCCTCATCTCTCCACATTACAATCTAGCACCACACTGTCTCACACAACCCCCAGGATCCATGTCTTCCCCAGCCTGTATCTTCTGGGCTGAGGATATTCTCTCCCTCCAGTGTCACCCCTATGCCTACCCAACCTGGCCAAGTCCTGCCCATCCTTGAAGGCTTAGCTAGCAGGACCCTATCTAGGAAGGTTCCCTACCCCCAGCTGCTCCTCTGAGCTCCTAAAGGCTCTGTTCTTTTTGTTATTCTTATTCCACTTAGATTATGTATCTGTGAGCTCCTCCCTAGGAGGGCCCAAGATCCATCCAATTTCATATTCCCAGCACCAGTTCAGCACCTGATATTTTTCTGGGTCACAGAGCAGGTGTTCAAATCTTGGGAGGTTGAATGAATGGTTTTAAAATGTCCAGTGCAATTTAAAGCAAGGCCCAGCTATACTAGCCCAAAAGAAGAAAAAGAGAAAGAAGAGGGTGAAGGACAGGATGAACACCTACAGGCTTTGGGGCTTGGAGAGACCTGAATTCACACCCCAGGTTTTGCTATTTATTGTTAAGTGGGAAGGGCTTGGGTAGGACTCTGAGATGACAGAATTATGATGAAGGATTTCTCCTTCACAGCGATGCCAGGACAATCAAGGAGCACCAAGCACAGAGCCTGGTGTGCATTAAATGCTGGCTCTGAGGATTTGAATCCCTCTCTGTCCCCTTATCGCCCACCCTCAGTCCTCCTTGCCCAGGGTGGGCCTCCCCTACCTGCTCAGCATGTCAGAGAGGATGTCCAGGGCTTCCAACTGCACAGCCACGTCCTCTTGCTGCGCGATGGCACTGGTGAGCTGGCCGGTGATCTTCCGGCACACATTGGTAGCCAGGCCAGAGCCTATACAGAGCACAAGGATGGCACAGTGAGGACATAGGGCTGGCCTCCACCTGTGGTCAGCCTCTGCTCTCATAATACTTCTGAGCCTATATCCCTGAGAATCCAGCTGACCCTGGTCTCAAGTGGTCCAAGGTATGACCCAGAGTACATCTGAACTAGACAGATCAAGAGACTGAGGAACTGATGGCTGACTCAGCCCACACCCAGTCCCTCTGCCTTCCACCTTCTAACTAGGGAGGCAGGAAAAGCTCCTGTCCTAGACTCCCTTGCTGCTAGCAGGGGCCGGTGAAATATGTAGGTAGAAGTCTTCTGACAGCTTCTGGGGAAATATGTGCTTTTCTTATAAAGGACAAAAAGCATAAGCAGAGACCTCACCCCTCTCCTAACGGAGCTGCTACATGAATTGCTGCAAAAATGGAATGGCTGATCCCTTTGGAATTATACGAGGAAAGCAACCCTGTACTCCTTCAAGCTATCATTAATTAGATTTTGTTACTTACAACTCAAGCATTCCTGGCACAGAGCCTTGAACTTAAAGCGATCTGGGTCTGAATTCTCTGCCGCTTACTAGCCGGCTGGCCTTAGGTATGTCCCTTCACCTCTCTGAGCCCGTTTCTTTAATCATAAAGTAGCACAAATAATGATAGTGCCTAATCCCTGGGACCCGGGTACCTGTGGCTGCAGGGGGGAGCTCCGAGAGGACAGTCTTGAGGCCAATGCCAGCGATGTCTCGGAGCTGCTCCTTATCAGACCGCATGTTGGCACAGAGGGCATCCACGATGGTCTCCACCTGGTACTCCTTCACTTTGCCCACCAGAGGACCCAGGCTGAGCAGGGAGGGAAGGAGGGTGTCCAAAAGCCCCAGGCTCAACCTGAGTCATGATGCTCCTTACGTCTCCTCAGGCCCATGGAACCCACGTGTGCTGAGGAAAAGGCGCCATGTGGACAGGGGACTCTCTATTTTGCTAGAAAGAGAGGAACCCTCTGGCTCTGCCAACATCATTCCTGGCACCTCCCAAACCTGCACCTCCTCCTGGGTTTTGCATGTCAGTATATGGCCAAACCCTTGATCCCAGTAACCTCAGCTGGAAACCAAGGAATGCCTAAGAGCCTTGGTTCTCAAACTTGAACATGTACCAGAATCCTCTTGGAGGGCTTGTTAGAACAAACCTCTGGGCCCCACCCCAGATTTTCAGATTCAGAAGGCCTAAGAATTTAAATTTCTAGCAAGTTCTCAGTAGATGCTGATACTGGTGGTCCAGGGACCACACTTTGAGAACTTCTGATTTTAGTCACATATCCGCTTCATGAGTATCACCAGTATCACCTGGAACTTGTCAGAAATGCAGAATCTCATGTCCTACCCTAGAGCTACCAAACCAGAATCTTCAGTTCAACAAAGGCCCCAGATGATCTGAATCTACATTAAAGCTTAAAAATAGCTATTTTTAATAGCTAATTTTGTGCATTGCCATTACCTGGGTGCTAGCCCCAGAGACTCTGAGTTAATTGGTTTTCAGGTGTGGCCTGGACATTGGGAATTTTGTTTTTTGTTTCTAATTCCCTAGGTGATTCTAACATGCAGTTAAGGTTCTGAGATGTTGGTGTGCATTAGAATGCTGATTCCCAGGTGCTACCTTCTTATCTGCCCTCCACAGACTCCTCTCCACCCCTCCTGCTCCTCCTGAGTCTGAATCCCTGGTGGGAAATACAGAGCTATAACAAGGGTCCCAAGGAACCACAATGCATCCCATTTTGCAATCTATGGCTCTCTTTAGACGTTTTTTTCCATCAACTCTTCTAAGTACTCATGGGGTCCCCCTTTCTACCTCTTATAGTTCCTGAGTGGTGTGTAGTGCCCTCAGGAGAGTTCTGGAAATTTATGGAGGCCTTTTTTGGTCATAAATAATAAGATGTCACTTCTGGCTTTTATTTGGGGGCGGGAATGTGCATGGGGCTGGAAAAGACAATACTGCAAAACAAAATGTTCCATGTCTTGGGATTCACATAGGAAAAAAAAAATCTTTCCATAATTATCTGAGTCTAAAATCTAATTTCAATTTACACGTAAAAACAAAGTACTTTTTACACTATTTTATTATATGCTAAATTTTCCAAGAATGTAACTATCATGTAAATTGAAGGAAGATTGTACTTTGTTTTCTGGCAAACTACCATGAGATGTTCACCGTTTCAGAAAAATCTCATCACTAATTCAGAAAATCAGCACCAGGATGTCTGGGTGGCTCAGTGGTTGAGCGTTTGCCTTAGGCTCAGGTCATGATCCTGGGGTCCTGGGATAAGTCCTGCATCAGGCTCCCCACAGGGAGCCTGCTTCTTCCTCTGCCTATGTCTCTGCCTCTCTCTCTATGTGTTTTTCATGAATAAATAAATAAAATCTTGGAAAGAAAAGAAAATATAATCAGCACCACAGTGCTGCTTGTGGTAGCTGAGCCTCCATCATCCATACCTGCCTCTACCTCCAATTGCCACAGCACCCACAGTGAACCTACGTTTAGTGCAGGCATCTCATGACTTTATTATCACTTCAGTCAATGTTCCAATTACATACTAGAACACATACTACCATACTATTGGTTATGTTAGTGGGAAATCGCCATCTACTCTAGCTCTACTGCATGGCGAGACAGATGCTTCCAGACTACAAACATGACCATGTCACATCCCTGCATAAAACTCTACTGAATTCCCTCTGCTCTTAGGATCAAGTCGAAATTCATTAAGACAGCCCAGAATGCCTGGGCCCAGCTCACAGAGTACTGTTCCACAGGCAATGCCCCAATTCTGTTGACTGTTGACCCCTGCCATTCCTCAGTCCTCCAGCCTCCCACAGGTGTGTCCTGCACATACCTCACCTTGCTTATTTATTTATTTAAGATTTTATTTATTGGGGGTGCGTGGGTAGCTCAGTCAGTTTAGTGTCTGCCTTCAGCTCAGGTCATGATCTTGGGGTTCTGGGATCAGATTGAGCTCCATGGAGCCCTGTGTCGTATTGGGCACCGCTCAGTAGAGTCTGCTTCTCCCTCTCCCTTTGCACCTCCCCGCATTCATGCTCTTTCTCTCTCTCAAATAAATAAATTTTTAAAAAAAAATTTATTTACTGGGGCACCCAGGTGGCTCAGTGGTTCAGCATCTGCCTTTGGCTCAGGTCATGATCCTGGGGTCTTGGGATCGAGTCCTGCATCAAGCTCCCCTCAGGGGGTCTGTTTCTCCCTCTGCCTATGTCTCTGCCTCTCTCTGTGTGTCTCTCATGAATAGATGGATACAATCTTAAAAATTTTATTTATTTGTTTGTTTGTTTGTTTATTTATTTATTTATGAGACGGACCACATGCACGAGTGGGGGCAGACTCTCCACTGAGTGGGGAGCCCAGACATGTTGCGGGGGGTGGTCCCAGGATCCTGAGACCATGATTTCAGCCTAAGGCAGATGCTTAACCAACTGAGCCACCCAGACATCCCTCATCTTGCCTTTTTAGCTTTAAAGGTAACTGGCCAAGGTCTTAGGACTGCAACCTCATGGTAACCTCATGGTATCTAGAGCAAAGGCTTTTGGGGCCCTCCATCCCTTCAGCCCTCACCACTCCTTTTGCACACCAGCGTGACCTTCCAGCTGCCAGCACCTGCATCTACACCTGAAGGCTTTCTCTGGCTGGAGGGGTCATGAATACATAACCTTCCATCCTACCCTGGGAGCAGCCCTCAACCAGACTGGCAGCCTGCTGGTGGAACACTCCACAAGCCATGTCCTACGCTGTGCCCCAAAGGTCCCCAGTAGGATTAAGCTCCACTTGCCCACAGCAGTAACTTGCTTGATGTTTCACATGTCATTGGCTATCTTACTTCCCTATCTCATTGCTCAATTTTCCTACTGGAGCTCTTTGAGATCACTTCCCAAACTTATACTTGCATCCCTGTGACTGGGTCTACTTCTGAACGGATCCAGACCAAGGCACTAACTCCTCTGGGGCTTCAAGAGCTGCTCAGCAGCTACTCTCTCAGACACTGCACCCCAAAGGGGCAGGGGCCCCTGGGGTCCTCTCACACCTGGCCTTGCCCCGTCCCCACCAGGGCCAACACTCACCACTTGACGGCCAGGTTCTGCACTTCACCGTTCTTGTCCTCCAGGAGTCTGAGCAGCATCTTCACCACTTTGCGCTCACTGTCCTCGTCCAACTGGATGGAGTCCTTCTGCAGCTCCGACATCAGGTCACTGGTGGCCATGAACCTGGGCAGGAGGGCAGAGGAGGATTACTGAGCAGCTACTGGGCTCCTGTATTTTGGGCAGTATCTTAGAATTCCCCCAGAAGCAGACCTTGATACAAAGATTCAAGGGCAAGTAGATTATCTGGGCTGGAGGTGGGATCGGGCCATCACCAAGAGACCCACATGTGAGATACCAACTGCCACATCGTGGCAGGCTAGGAATAGTACAGCACACTGGCTAAAGGCTGAGCCTTTGAGTTTGGTGGCTCCTGCTTCCACCACTTATGGAAATGCCAACTTGGGCAAGTCGCTTCACCTCTCTGAGCCCTCATTTACTTGTCAGAAAAATGGGGATGAGAACAGCACCTGTGTTGGGGGGTTGCACAGAAGTTAAAATAATGTATGTGATGCGCTGAGCATACAGTGAGCACTCAGTAAGTAGCACCACCATTATTATAATGGCACGTTACGTCATTCACCTCTTGTCCATGCTAGAAGGTCAAATAGACACCTCTCTAACAGACAGGTGGAGTGGGGCTAGCCACCCCTACCTTAGAGAACCCATTCAGTCCCTGCCTTTAGACCAGTGGTTAAAGACCAGTGGTTAGACCAGTTTGGTTTGCCACCAAACTGTAGGTGGCATCAGAATCACCTACAGGGTTTATTAGACATTGCTGGGCCCCACCCCCCAAGGTTTCTGGAATCAGATCTGAGCCAGATGCCCTAGAATTTGCATTTCTAATAAGTTCCTGAGGGGCACGGACGATACCCTGAGAACTCCTGCCCTCGGCCATGCTGATGGGCCACAAGCATAACTTAGACACTGATGTCAACAGCTGACCAGTCCCCAACCATGGCTCCCTGACCCTGAGGTGGTCATCAGAGCCAAGTGCTGCCCATGACAGGTGGCCAGACCCATGTGGCTTGATCCATGTCCTGAGGATTGAAATTACGGTGGGATTATGAACAGGAAGGCCATGAGCTAGGGCTGCAGGAGCATGATGGTTCCTGCCAAGATTAAGAGGGCAGAGCAGCCTTAAACTGGCAGCCCTCAGCTGTGCCCACCTTGCAGGTGTTTTTCAAAAATTCAATTTATCAACATTTAGAAACTGGAAAAGTTGATGTAAAAGTTCTAATTCCCAGATTCTCTTGAAAATAGAATTTTTTAAAAAGATTTTATTTATTTATTTGAGAGAGAGTGCAAACGATGGGGGAAAGGCAGAGGGGGAAGAAGTAGGCTCCCCGATGAGCAGGGAACCCAACATGGGGCTCGATCCCAGGACCCCAGGATCATGACCTGAAGGCAGACGTTTAACCGACTGAGCCACCCAGGTGCCCTGAAAATAGTCTTTGAATACAACTGGGCCAACATCCCCTGGTGACAATAACTGGCTGGTCAAAGCATGGCTGCCCTCAGCAGGTAGGACACTATCTCCAATTGAGTAGGTTCCCATGAGGCCCACTGCACCCATTCACTGGGTCCTGTAGGGACTTGAGAGGAGAGACCGGAGGGGAATGCTGGAGCAGCAAGGAGAGATACGGCAAAGTTAGGGCCAGAGAGTGGCAGCCCCAGAGGAAGCCTCCAGGTTTTGCTGACCCACCAGGCCACCCTGCCTCCTCATACCAGCCTTGCTTTTGGGCTTGACCTCGCTCTACTAACAAGAGCCCTACCAGCTCCTCCCAAGCCTCCTGTGGCAAAGTCGATCACAGTCAGGAGTCCAGTCTCATCTCTGCAAGCTCAGACCTGCTGCTTGATGTCATGAGGAGACCCAAGCACCCTGGTACCAAGAGGGCACTTGTCGATGTCACTGCTGTTTATTTTTAACAGCTGGGATTAGCCTCACGCTGCTGAGAGAGGGAAGGAGACTGGGCTGGAGGTCAGGAGGGAATGGGGGCTGACTGTGCCCACCTCTGGGCCTGGTCATCACAGGAGAAGCAGCCAAGGTAAGGTGAAGGAGGAGGTTTGCATCTGAGCCAGGCCATGGCCTAGGTCTGCCCAGCTGCAGGGACATTCTGAGACAGCAGGCAGGGTCTCTAAACTGCATTTCTACGGCAGTTCATGGAGACCCAGCTCGGTCTGGTACTGTGTTCCTTTGACCAAGATGAGCTTCCTGTCACTGTCTTTCTTCTCTGTTGAACTCCTATTCAATTGTCAAGGACCCAGCTCAAATGTCCTAGCCTCAGGAATGACTCTTCTGACCACCTTGCCCTACCCCCAACCCACACTCTCTAATCACACCTGGTTCCCCTGGATAAGATTCTCTCAGAGCACTCTGCATTCCTCATCAGAACACTCTTCAAAGTGCACTGTCAGCTTGGTTAGCAGTGTGTCTCCTTATTAGAATATGAACTCACAGGGGCCCATCAGGTTCATCCCTGGGACTCCAGACCCAGCAAAGAACAGGTCTGGAGAGGGCCTGGAAGGTAGGGTGAGGGCAGGAGGAGAGGCAAGGGAAGAGCCAGCCCTTAACAGCCAAGCAGCTGTGGAAACCCAAACTCAGAAACCAGCCCCTCTGAGATATGCCTCAGCATTTCAGACACCCCCGAGTTCCTGCAAATAACCAGCTCTCAGAGAAAGAAAGCTGTATTATGCCTTTGTACGTGGTGGTGGCAGTGGGGGCAGTGGGGCAATTACAGCAAAGCATGTAATTTGGTAGATAAGACCTTGAGCACTAAGTTTGGCTTTTTTTTTTTTCCTTAAGATTTATTTATTTATTTTAGAGAGAGAGAGTACGAGCAGGGAGAGGGGCGGAAGGGGAGAGGGAGAGAGAATCTCAATCAGACTCTACACACAGCGCAGAACCTGACACAAAGCTCCATCCCCGTGACCCTGAGATCGTGACCTGAGCCGAAATCAAGAGTCTGATGCTTAATCGACTGAGCCACCCAGACGCCCCTGAAGTTTGGCTTTCAGTAAATATATAGGTCTTGCCACCTATGAACTGGGTGATCTTGGGCAACTGACGCCTGAGTCTCAGTTTTCCACCTATGAAATGAGAATTTTCTTTGCCCCACCTCATAATATCTTTGGGAGATTTCAATAGGACAACCAGGTCTTACCATGAGGCAGATGGGGAAACCAGGCCCAGAGGGGCTGCAGGAACTGCCCAAGGTCACACAGTAAGTTGGGAGGAGACTCAGCACACCAGTCAGGTCTCCTGGTTTCTCAACAATTACTACTGTGTTTTTGAAAAATGATTTCGGAATTCCTCGGAGAGCCCCCATTTATCCATATGGTTGCTGGAGTCTTGAGTGGGAACTGAGCAGCCTCCTACCCACAGAGAGACAACAGGGATCAACAGCTTTCTTGACCCTACCTGGGACCCCCACTTGCAGTCACCACCTGCCTCCGGAAGCCAGAGGGCATGGTTTCAGTTTCATTCCAGAGAAACCCTAGAGGCAACTCAGCTGAAACACTTAGCCACATGGGCACCTGGACAGTTGGTCAGCAGGACCCAGCCTTCCTGGTATTTGGACTTTAAAAATAGATACCATTCTCATATGCTTGGGGTGGTTTTAAGTGTTCTCCAGCAGAGCAGGCTGAAAGGGCTGCTCAGGCTCTAGTTGGCAGGACCAACTCCCTCTTCTGGAGACGTGGACCTGGGGACCAAGAGACAGGGGTGCAAATCCCCTCAGCCACTAACTGGCTATGTGACCTTGGGCAAGTCTCTCCGAGCCTCTGGAGAACAGGAAGGACAATCACTAGCACCCCAGCAGCTGGGTAGACTGAATAAGACTGCACAGCAGGGAATATGGCAGCCAGAAAACACTCACTGAGCACCTCCTGTGTACCCAGAACAGGCTCTGGGATGCAAAAAGGAAGCACACAGTTCTGCTGCTGGGGTTCTGAGGATCTCAGGGCTAGAAGTTAGATGCAGTTAGAAATATGAGGTGGGGGATGCCTGGGTGGCTCAGTGGTTGAGCGCCTGCCTTCGGCTCAGGTCATGATCCCAGAGTCCCAGGATTGAGTCCCACATCGGGCTCCCCGCGGGGATCCTGCCTCTCCCTCTGCCTATGTGTCTGCCTCTCTCTTTGTGTCTCTCACGAATAAATAAATAAAATCAAAAGAAAGAAAGAAAGAGAAAGAAAGAAAGGAAGAAGAAAGGAATAAGAAAGGAAGAAGGAAGGAAGGAGGAAGGAAGGAAGGAAGAAAGGAAAAGAAAGAAAAGAAAAGAAAAGAAAAGAAAAGAAAAGAGAAAAGAAAAGAAAAGAAAAGAAAAGAAAAGAAAAGAAAGAAAGAAAAGAAAAGAAAGAAAAGAAACAGGGGAGGTGCCCAACCCTGCCTGGATGTCAGGAGGCATCCCAAAGAGGTGACAAATGAGTAGGAGCTACCCAGGTGGAAGGAGGAAATGAAGAGGGGTGAGGGGTTGTAGTAAGGAATGGGGAAGAGGGCAGGGCAGATTTCTGATGTGCATGGAACCGAAAGTGTCAATTTATTAAGCACCTATCTGGTGCCAGCCGCTGATCTAAGCATCGCACTTGTATTACCTCTTTTCAAACTCGCACCAACCCCCTGAGGCCCGTTCTCTTATGAGCCCATCTTACAGAAACACGAACAGTAGGTGGTTGGGGGCGGCATCTGAATCCAGTGCAGTGGTTCTAAAGCTCTCCTAGAGGCTCCCCGGGGGTGCTGAGGACCAGGAGCGGGGAGTCTCCATCTCACTTGTCAGAGGGCTGGCTCAGATGGTCTCGCTAAGATCTCAGCCCCTGTGTTAAGACTGGCCTAGATTCGGACCCCACATCCTCCACGTCATAGCTCTGTGACTGCAACTGGCCCCTCGGTGACTCTGAGCCTTGCTTTCCCCATCTGTGAACTGGGGATGAAGTGCCAGGCTGTTTAGTAAGGGGGCTATGTTCGTTTCTGTGGGCTCCCAGGGGCCAGAGCTGGCGGTGTGACCAGAGCCAATCCCATCGCTGCCCCCCACACACCCCTCACACCGCAGGCCTCAGTCTCCCCCTGAGGATGACAGGGTTGGAGGAGAGGTTTCCTCCATCCTTTCCTGCTCTGTTCGGGTGTGGCTCAGAGGGGAACAAAGAGAAGGGGAGTGGTACCCAAAAGCTAAAAGCCCCCACCCCAACCAACCAGAGCCTACGGGTGCCTGAAAAGCCACTCGGCGGCGGCGGCGCAGCCCCTCCAGGGGAGGGCAGGGGAGAGGAAGGGAGGGGGGCGGGGGTCCCGACGGAGCGCGGGCTGGAGGCCGGAGGCGACTTTGAGGAGGGGGAGGGCGGAGCTGAGGGTGCAGAGGGCGCCGCGGGTAGCGGTGTCGGGGTCGTGGGCCCGGGAAGGGGCTGGGTTTCGGTGCCGGGAAGAAGAGGCGGGCGCTGGGATCCCCAAGGGGGGCCGAGGGCTTCACCGCGGGTTGGGGTGCGGGGCCCGGGCCAGGAGGAGAGAGGGAAGGCAGAGGGAGGCGGGAGGGGAGGGGCTGGGGCTCCGACCCGGCAAACTGAGGCCGGGCCGAGGAGCTCACCGCGGCAGGCGCGCAGGGCGGCGACGGGGGGCGCAGGGGGGCGCAGGGCGGCGACGGGGGGCGCGAGGAGCGCGGGGGCGAGGGGGTGCGGCCGGCCACGCCGAGGGGCAGGGGCGGCACGTGGGGGACGGGCGGGCGCGGCGGGGGGCGCGGGAGGCGCGGGCTCCGGTGGGAGGCGGGGACCCGGGCGGCGGCGGGGCGCACCTGAAGTCCTTGTCGCTGGACGTCATCTTCTCCAGGAGGCTGGAGACATGGAAGGCGGCGGTGCTCATGGTGGCTGCGCGCCGCGGGGCCGCCGGCGGGAGCGAATATGGCGGCGCGGGCGCCCCCTCCCCCGCCTCGCGGCGCGGGCTGCGCTCACCGGACAGAAATAGCAGCCCCCGCCCCGCCCGGGTGGCGCCGCGCTCGCGCCTCGGCCGGGGCCGCCGCGGGAGGCGGAAGGGGGCCTGCGAGAGGCTCTGCGCGCTCGCCCCGGGCCCGGCCGCCGGCCGCCGGCCTACGTTCGTGGCGCGGCGCCGGCTTGCACACCCCCGGGGACGGGGAGGTCACTACCTCTCACCGGGGACCGCCTCCCTGTGACTCCTGGGGGTCCCGACCCCGGCTGCGTGGCGCGCGCACGGGATCGGAGAGTCTCAGGTTCGAATCCCACTTCCCCGCGTTCCCCTGTGGCGTAGCCTGGGCCAAGGGGCTTTACGTCTCTGAGCCTCAGCGTTTTCATAGGTAGCGGTTCACGAAGCAGGAGCTGCTATTAGTGTAGGTCAAGCCAAAGCGCTTCCACCTCCACCCCACATCTCATGCTGGCCTGCCTCGGAGACGGGCAGGATCTGAAGACTGTACCCGGTCACCAGGCCCCCTGCTTGCCACCTCCAACCCTCGAGCCACGGGACCAGTTTCTTCATTTTACAGAGATGCAGCTGAGACCCAGAGAGGCAGAGACTTACTAAAAGTGGAACAGCCCAGGGGATCCGGGATGCAGTCAGGACTGACCCTAGATCCCTCAATGCCTTGGGCAACAATCCTTACGTGAAGCTCTCCACACCTTCTTCACAGGACTGGAAGATGTGTAGGAGCACAGAAGAGCCCTGTGCCTCTCTACGTAGCCAGGAAGCTCCTGGCTCTTAAGAAAGGGAATAGCATGTGCTTTGCGGCAAAACAATCCTGGATTCAAATCCCTACTAGGCTGATTCCTGGCTGTGTGACCTTGGGATAATAACACAACCTCTCTAGACTGTTTTCCTCACCCAAAGATGAAGATTAGAAATATCTTTATAACACACTTATTGGGTAGCCGGGTTCTAGACCGGTGCTGTCCAACAGAATTTTCTTCAATGTTGGAAATTTTCTTTTGTGAAGGCCAGTTAGCTCAATTGGTTAGAGCATAGTGCTCAGAAACCGAGATCTGGAGCTGGGCATGCTCATTGCTTGCCATGTCCTTTCTTCTAGGTGCTCTCTGCAGACAGAGTTGTGAAATATATGTATGTCTACTAATCCCCATATACACACATTGATCTATATGCTATGGTCTGAATGTTTGCATCTCCCCAAAATCATGTGTTGAAATCCTACCCCCCAAAGTGATGGTATAAGGAGGTAAGGACCTTAGGAGGTGATCAGGTCATGAAGGCAGAGCCCTCATGAATGAGATTAGTGTGCCTTATGAAAGAGACCCCAGTATGGAGTTGCTATGTTGTACACCTGAAACTAATGTAACATTGTATGTCAACTATATTTCAATAAAAAATAAAATAAAATAGGAGCACCTGGGTGGCTCAGTCAGTTGGGTGTCAGACTCTTGGTTTCAACTCAGGTCATGATCTCATGGGTTGTGGAGTCAAGCCCCATGTCTGAGCTCCATGCTCAGTAGGGAGTCTGTTTCAAACATTCTCCCCCTCTGAGTGCCCCTCTACCCACTCACCCTCTAACTCTCTCTAAAATAAATAAATCTTTAAAAAGATATATAGGGACACCTGGGTGGCACAGTACGTCTCTTGGTTTTGGCTCAGGTCGTGATCTCAGGGTCATGAAATGGAGCCCTACATCAGGCTCCATGCTCAGCGCTGAATCTGCTAGGACTCTCTCTCTCTCTCTCTCTCTCTCTCTCTCTCTCAAATAAATAAATAAATCTTTAGCAAACAGGGACACCTGGGTGGCTCAGCAGTTGACATCTGCCTCTGGCTCAGGGCATGATCCTGGTACCGGGATCCAGTCCCACGTCAGGCTCCCCACCGGGAGCCTGCTTCTCCCTCTGCCTATGTGTCTCTTCCTCTCTCTCTGTGTATCTCATGAATAAATAAATAAAATCTTAAAAAAAAAAACTCTTTAGCAAACAAATAAATAAAATCAATAAAAGAGACCTCAGAAAGATCCCTCACCCCTTCTACTGTAGGCGGACTCAGTGAATATGGCTGTCCCTGAACCAGGAAGCAGGCTCTCACCAGACACTAAATCTGCTAGTGCCTTGATCTTTGACTTCCCAGCCTCCAGAACTGTGAGAAATAAATTTCTCTTGTTTAGAAGCCACCCAGTGTATGGTATTTTGTTATAGCAACCCTAATGGACTAAGACATTGTATTTATAATAAACACCATGAGTTCATACTGATGTGATTTCAATCCATCACCACAGGCAGGGTTCATTCTAGCCTCCCTTTCCTTTTTTTTTCTTCTTTTTTAAAAAAATTTAGATTGAGGTATAATTGGCATATAACATGTTGATTTCAGGTGTAGAACATAATGATTCAATATTTGTTTACATTGCAAAATAAGCACCACAAGTCTTAACATCTGTCCCAATACATAGTTACAGAAAAAATTTTTTTCTCATGACAAGAACTCTTAAGATCTACTCTCTGAGCAATCTTCAAATATGCAATACAGTATTATTAACTGTGGTCACCAAGCTGTATGTTATATTCCCATGACGTATTTATTTTATAACCAGAAGTTTTTTATCTTTTGATCACCTTTGCTTGTTTCTCCTACCTCCCTAGGCACCCTGCCTCTGGCAACCACCAGTCTGTTCTCTGTATCTGTGAACTCAGTCTTCCAGGGCTAATGATTTCTGTGTGCGAACCCACTAAGCTGGTTATTCAGGAAAGTCAAAAGGCTGCTCCAGTGACAAACGCGTCATCCCCTGGGAGGCAGAGCTGACACCTAATAGAGTGAGCAGTACAATAGGTGCCTTCCCCCTTTCCCTATATGTAACTTCTTTCTTTGACAGTAATAAATGTTTCTCTTGGGATGCCTGGGTAGCTCAGTGGTTGAGCGTCTGCCTTTAGCTTAGGTCATGATCCCAGGGTCCCGGGATCGAGTCCTGCATCAGGCTCCCCGCAGGGAGCCTGTTTCTCTCTCTGTCTCTGCCTCTGTGTTTCTCATAAATAAATAAATAAATAAAATATTTTTTTTTAAATGTTGTTATTGGGGACCCCGGGTGGCCCAGCGGTTTAGTGCCTCCTTCAGCCCAGGGCCTGATCCTGGAGACCTAGGTTCGAGTCCCACGTCAGGCTCCCTGCATGGAGCCTGCTTCTCCCTCTGCCTGTGTCTCTGCCTCTCTCTCTCTTCTCTCTCTCTCTCTCTCTCTCTCTCTCTCTCTGTGTCTCTCGTGAATAAATAAAATCTTGAAAATAAAATTTTGCTCTTGGGGGATCCCTGGGTGGCTCAGCGGTTTAGTGCCTGCCTTCAGCCCAGGACATGATCCTGGAGTCCCAGGATCGAGTTCCACAACAGGTTCTCTGCTTCTCCCTCTGCCTGTGTCTCTGCCTCTGTGTGTGTGTGTCTCTCATGAATGAATAATAAAATCTTTAAAAGAAAATGTTGCTCTTGTTACCTATAATGCATTTACTTACTGGTTCAATCCTAGTGTTCTAAAGGAAAACTATTTCTCTACTCATAATACTTCTGACACCAAATGTGTACTTTTTTCCTCACACTATGCAATTCTGACACTACCCATAGTTAGCACAAATGCCAAATATTAAGAGCTTATCTGTACAACACTGTCACCATTTCAGATACCAATTGCAAGTCTGAGCCTCTCATATTTCTGGCCAACTGGCTACAAATCAGGGGTTCCCATGTCCCCCTCCTCAGGTTGACTAATTTACTAGAATGGCCCACAAAATTCAAGGGAAAGTTTACTTATGTTTACTGGTTTATTATAAATATATAAAGGATACAGATGAACAGCCAGATGAAGAGGTACCTAAGGTGAGGTCTAGAAGGGTCCCAAGTACAGAAATTATTGTCTCCATTGAGTTTCGGTCCACCATCCTCCAGGCAGATGGATGTGTTCATCAACCTGTAAGCTCTCCAAACCCCATAGTTTAGGGATTTTTATGGTAGCGTCATCACATAGGCTTATTGATTATTGATTATTGATTATCGACTCAATCTTCAACCTCTTTCCCCAACCCAGAGACTGCAAGTTTCAGGCTTCTACTCATGGCTTGGTCTTTCTGGTGACCAGCCACCATTCTGACACTATCCCAGAGCCCACCAAGACTCACCTCATGACAACAAATGACATTCCTGTCACCCAGGAAATGTCAAGGAATTTAGGAACTCTGTGAGATGCTCCTATCACCATCATGAACTCCAGAAATTATAAGGGTTTTAGGAGCTCTTTGTCGGGAACTGAGAGCAAAGATCAAATATTCATTTCTTATCATGCCATATATACATATACATATACATATCATACATATACATATGCATATACAGTATCTTCAGAATTGCTAACCTTTACTCCTGTGAGAAATTAATTTACTTTTTTCACCTGAGCCATAAATGAGTTCTAACTGGCTCACAAACACGCAAAAAAGCTCAAGAAGAAACAGGATTTAGAGCAAGACTGTAGGGAGTTATGCTCTACCTTCTTGAGGGTAGAGTATCTACTTTTATTATTTTAAATTCTTCTGCACTAGATATTTGTTTATTCTCTCCCATTTATTTATTTACCTAATGATTTATTTATATCAATATGGACCTACGGGTATTTATTTTATACTCTGGGTTATAATCTGGTACTACTTTATTTTGTTGCTCAAATTATTTTAGCTTTGGCCATGGAGAGTTTCAGTTGGTTCTTGTGTCCTTTTGACATACCTTCATCAGCATATGTGTGTGTCTTTAATTAATTGTAACCTACTCCAACAATGAGAAACCTGGCTCCCACCATCAGTCATCCATTTACCTAATTGTTCATTTCCAGTGTAGGTGTATATGTATAAAAATATTAGAATTGTTAACCTGGGGCAGCCAGGGTGGCTCAGCGGTTTAGCGCCACCTTCAGCCCAGGGCCTGATCCTGGAGACCTGGGATCGAGT